CCCACAGAAGAGGAAGATCCACAAAATTCTGTATAACTCGGTTTGTGACCTTTCCTCCGGTTATCATATATTAAATTCTTATATATCTAGGTGTATTCTTGTCCTCTTGTTTATGCCTCCGCTTATACTTACTGATGTTACCGTTAGTGCAAAGTAGTATTCGGCCGAGTTTTAGACTCTTTCGAACGCCGCTTAGATGTACTTTCACTACACTGAGCTCGCAACACTCACCATCATCGTCATTGTCCTCCTAATTAGAAGAGAAATAAAGTTCGATAAGAATAGAACAATATTTGTATCTTGTACGTACTTTGTCCTTCACCGAGCTACGCGTCACACGGCGTTTCGGTGCACCAGAAGCATTGCTTATGTGCGATGAAATCGATTCGACATCATCACTATCCGGCACGGTAGAACGTGAGCTGCGCCGCTTACTGACCCGCTTATTTGTGGGGGACGATATTGAAACTCCACTACGCAAACTTTCGACAGTTGTATTTTTAATAAGTGCCGCCGACTTCTCCATTACAGCCAATTGTGTGCGTGTCAAACGTCGCGCCGACGAATATAATGCTGCTTCAGTTGCAGTCTTATTGGACTTTGACGGTTCACCAGTTTCATGTTCGTGCTCTTCTAGCGGTTGCGTTTCATCTAGATTATCTGTATTAACACTCATTCTTCGTGTTGTTCGCCGCAGGCTTCTAGGTGTACCAACTTCGGTAGAACCCTCTGTCGATTCAGCAGGAGCAGCAGCTACTACATTGCTACGTCGTGTACGTCTGCTGCTCGGTGTAGTTGGTTGCTCTGAAACGCTACTTGATACTGAAGAACGGCGTTTTCGTTTGGTTTGCGGCGCCTGCTCACCACCGCTCACAATCGACGAGTCCAATTCGCTCTCGACCGAATTCAATCGTAAGCGTGAACGTGTACGTGCCGATGGTGAGTCCACTACTGGTGTACTTTCGTTGATGGCTTCGAGCAAATTTGAGCGACGACGTGTAACAATTGTCGCCGCTGGTGGCACTGAAGTTCCGCGTGCGGTCCGCACAGGTGTGTTGCTTCTGGCCGTTTCATCGACATCATGTGGCACTGATACTCCACGAATGCTGCGACGAGTGCGCGGCGTGTCTGGCTGTGACCCGTTATCTTCACTGGGTTGTACTGAGTTTGCGCGAGTGCGTCGTCGACTTTCGTTTATATTTGGCGTATGTACTGTAGCTTCCTGTTCTTGTTGTGCAGTGATCTGCGGTGGCATTGAAATACCACGCGTGTGCCGACGCGGGGTACTAACCTCGTCAAGCGGTGTGTTGACCGCGGATTCTACCGGAGCTAGAGGTACAGAAGTGCCGCGACGGCTGTGTCGGTTGTGCGTAGGGGCAGACAAAAGCTTTTCTGTTTCATTTTCTTCTAAACGTAAGTTTAGACGTGAACGCTTAAGCGAAACCACTTTAATTGACGTTTGTGTGGAATCCAGTGACTTTTCGGTGTGTTCGGGGGACTTGCGTGGCGTTGTTTGTTTTTCAATATGTTCCAATTGACTTGCTTGTTTTTCTTCAAGCTGCTTGGCTTTTAAAATTTGTGTTGACTCTTGTTGACTTTCAACTACTGATTGCACAGTTGTGGCTTCAATTTCATGTTTAGTAGAGTCTGTATCCAACACATTTTCTTTCTCCACTGTCGTAGATATATTTGCTCCAGTAGTATTGTTTGTTGCGTTTACCTCCAATTCTATTAATTCAGCCTCACTGAGCTCTTCTTCTACGTGCAGATTTAATTGCTCCTCTTCAACCTCTAATTCGTCTTTGTCATCTTCTTTTACAGCGCCAGTGCCTGGTGTCTCAAATATTGATGCTTCTTCTTTTATTTTCTCAGCCTTTTCAGCACTTTTAGAGCCAGCTGCTACAGCTACTTCGACTTTGGGCTCGTCGCCGCTTCTCAACTCGTTGACTGGCTTTTCGACTATTTGCTTTACGATTCCGGCAGAAGTGCTGGCTACTTCATCTAACCTCTCCGTTTCAATCAACTCGTTAGTTTCAATGCTTTCATTTGTTGTTTCAGCGCCGCAGTAAAACACATCATCACCAAGATCTTCATAAACTTCTTTCGAGCTTGCGTTATAAGCGCTCACTTTCAGCTCTTCAATTAAAATCTCGCCGTCCGTCTGTGCAATTATGCTTTTGCTAAAGTATGACGAACCCAAGTCTAGGTTGTTAGAAGACAGCGTCTGATCTCCATCGTTGGACTTCTCAAATAAAACAGTTTCGCGCATCACTAGCTCTTCGTAATCAGCAAAGCTCGAAGCGGCATCCTCAATGACAATTCGGCTTTCACTTTCCACTGATACGCAAATGCTATGCAGAGACGATTCATTGCTGGCATCATGACCAAGTGGCATATTAAGTTCTTTTGGTTGCGTTACAGTTTCCGCTCCAACATATGCATTACTTTCGAAATGCTCGTTTTCATCTTCAATTACAACGGAGACAACTACCTCATGCTCTTTTACTGTTATTGGCGCTTCTGTTATTGATGCGTTGTCCTCTTCCTCCACGACTTTATTACCTGCGCTGCTGTTACTCTCCTCAATAATTTCTATAGACGAACTTGAAGTTTCGCTCTCATCTTTGCTAAATATACGTTCTCGCATTTCATCATCATTTTCGTCTTCCTCTTCTCCTTCGTCTCCATACTCATTTTCGTCCTCATCGTCATCACTTTCAGAATCGGAGTCAAATGCTTGATCGCCATGTATATTCGGCGATGATGGCGCGGACGATAAGATAATAACATCACTGTCACTATCATTGGCGGTTTGTTTAATTCTGTGCTTCTCCGCTGCTTCGGTTTTATTCTCATACAGAGCAACCACATCATTCGAATCTTCGCTATCATCAATATTCACGTCTGCTGTATGCTGCTGCGTCGGCAAACCAAGTGCAGCTGTGTATAAGTCACACTCAGTTGTGGCGGCGACTGAGTCAACACTTCCAGCTTGACCGCTCTGGCTTTGCTCCTTTTTATGAAAATTGATTGCATACGCATCGTTTTGGGATTCCGCTATTGGCTCATACATGTCCATCACTTCAACTGTTTCCATAACTTTCAAGATTGCTGCCTTATGCTTGTCGCTGCCCACTTCTGTTCTTGTAGTGTACGGCGTTTGCTGTGATTTGACATCGGCACTTGTAAATTCGTATGAACTCATGCCTAGCGTAGTATTGGCCTGTAAATGGTTTACGGTTTTTGGTTGCGCGTACACGTGTGGCGTCTGCAATGGTGTGTGCTTTACGACTTCAACAACTTTGTTCGCTTCTGTTACAAACGCGCTTTCCTCCATACTGAAGCTTCCAACCAATGTGCTGCATTCTGAGAGCTTGCCACGGTGTGCCTGTGGCTTTGGGTCTTCAAAGTTGAAGTTTGACTGTGTAGCGGCTATTTTCGATGATGAGCTGTGTGGCGCAAAGTCACTGCTAGCTAAAGACATAACGGTTGTGATCTGAAAACTCGGTTTGTCGACCATACAAGTGCTGTTAGTTTTTGAGATACTCGTAGAACTGGCGCTTACATAACCACTGCTTGTTTGCTTATCAATGTCATTTTGCTGCGTAGATTTTTGAATTTCAGCTTTGTTTTCTTCCTGTACGTCGTTTGCCTCTCTTACCGCTTCTGCAGGCGTCGGCTTTTCGGGCGTACGACTTTGACTACGTTCGGCTGAGAGACGTGAAAGTGGTTTACGCGGTTGTGGTCCACTAAAGCGTAATAATTTTGTTGACGCCGTTTCGAAAGCTGCGCTAATTGATGTGCTAAGTTGTGTTGTATGCGGTGAACGCACACTATCCATTAGCAAAGAATTATTACGCGACGACAAAGGTGAATAGAAATCCTCTTCTTCATCGTCAACCTCATCCACGGAATGATTAGTACTTTTCGAAGCATTGGACTCCACAGAGACGGCACGTGCAACTGATTTAAGTTTAGCTGGAGAGTGTGCAACTGTTGGTGGTCTTTCATGTCGCACCTCTATGAGCAATTCATCCATTGCATCGTCGTCGTCGTCGTCCATTACGACATCTTCTTGTGTTGATTCCGTAGTTTTTTCAGCTATCTTAACAGCTGTTTCATTCGTTTTAACAAGTTCTTCGTCGTCTACTGTTGTCGTGGTTACTACAAGTCGTTTGCGTACAACTTCATCCTGAACTTTATGAATTCCACTAACAGAGCTTACGTTTTCTTCTTGTGGCATTGTAATATCACGCGTTTCAGCTGCCGCGTCTTCTTTCTCTTCCACTATATCGGTGGCCGGTAATTTGAAACGCAAATTTTTGATTTCATCCATTGCTGTGTGCAGTTCTCTGCGTGCACTTTGCGCACGCACACTCCTTTCTGGCGTATTACTGGTCTTCAGTATGCTGTGCAACTCCGAAGTAGCAGACACATCTCCACGTCTTTCGTCACAAGTCGCCAAATGTCGGCGCGGTGTGCTCAGCGGCTGCGTGAGATAATCCGTAGCAGCGACGACAGCTGGTTCGCACACTTTCGTTTGTGTATCGTCAGCGCGCTTCAAATCAAAACCGCGTGCTGTCAGTTGTTGCGCCGATTTGTTCATCTGCATGAAGTGACCCAAGTCATCTATGATTTCCTGACCCAGCAAACGTCGACGTTTACGCGGTTGCGCAGTCGTATTTAACATAATATTCGTTAGCTCTTCTGTCGCGTCAGCTTGTTCTAGCTCGCGCTCCACTAGGGTACGCTTTTCGGTCAGCCTGTACGGCTGCGGATATGAAACGCCAGTCTGTGCAGCTAACTCTAGCGGTAAATAACAGCTGTCTACTTGTGGTTTGCGCAGGAATGGCGCATTATTTGCACTCAGCAGCGAGTTAAGCGGCGCTTCATTGCGTTCACGGCGTTCATTATCAATTTCGCCCCAATAATAAGTGGCAAAGTGTGCGCTCAAAGCGGAGCTGTGATAGATGCCTCCTAGCAAATTATTGGCATTTTGCTTAATCAATTGACAGCTTAGCGGCACAGGCGAACAATTGTCCGTTTCCTTTTTCTTGATTTTATTCTTAATGCGAAAGTAGACATCGGTCAAACCTTGCGTCACCGGCGCCATAGTTGTGTTGAAGGCGGATAGCACCAAGTTTGGCGTATCAGTGTTACCTGCAATGCTACTCTCGTTGCCGTAGTGACTGCGCAACGTCTTCGTACGCGACAGCTCATCCATGTAGGAAACAGCCTCAATATATTTGGACTTTTGCAGCAGATAAACGAAATGCAAATTTTCGGCGCCGTGTGTTTTGCTGCTGCGCAATATGCGCTGCACCAATTGTCCTTCTCGTTCATTGAGCGCCAAATCTCGTATGACGCCATACTTGCCGGCGCAGAGACAACATTTGAAGAAGAGCTCCAGCAGTGTGTCATCCTGTTTGGTGCGCGCAAAATGAAAAGCTTCCGAAATAAGCTCATTTGCAAGCAGTGTCTTCAATTTGAGTATGGGTGAAATTAGAGTGGGACGTGCTTCGAGTATACGCAAGGCAAAATGTGAGGCATTCTGCGTTAGCAACGATTCGATGAGTAGTTCCAGCATCCACTGGCTATACGTTTGATTGTTGTTGAAGGGCGATATGAACTCATCGACGGCGGGCTAAATGCGGTTGGAGAAAGGTGAAATAAATGTAAAAATCCTATTTTGTTATTTTATCGGATATCTAAAACCCCATTTGGGTGGCAAAGCTCGAGTTAATTGTCGTCGAAATCATCTAACGGAAGGCACAGGAAAAGTGCTGTTTTGACGCGGTCGGAACATAGAGAAAGGGGTGTTAGATGAATGTGATTTATTGGACAAGCAAAGAGTTGGTTAGACTCATGCGGGGACTCATTGCATACAGCATATATATTTGGTGCATCGGTGTCGATACTGAATAGGTAGAAGTTTAACCTGCTACAATATCCAGAACAAAGTTGGGCTTGGGTTAATCTAGATTCGCGGGTCAACTCGAGCTCATGGTCTGTAATGGGCGGTCGTTTGACTTCAAGTAAGCGCTTCACTGGGAGGGACTAGGTGAAGTTGTTAATGACTCCACTGTAAATGACCTATTGATGCTCTTAGTAGGTGTTTCGGAGCGGAGTGCATTGTATTCCATAATCGGTAGCATACAGGTTTTACTACGCAAGTGTTCCGCGCGAGACATCAGACGACCATATCGGTGCTGCTTTATTTATTTTGTTAAGCTCGTAGGTTATAACATTTATTTTAATTAAGTCCAAACGCCACTAAAAAAATATATTGACCAACCTAGTCGGGCTCACGCCTGCCATTACACTTACCTGAAATAAGCCATGGTCCAAATTCCAAAGCGATTGCACCGTCTTAATCAATGTGGCAGTCAGCTTGAAAACGCTTGGAAATTTTACAAAGCTCTCGACTATTTCTTTATGCGCCTGTTCGTCAATGGTCATGTGTAAATCCAAAAAGAAGTACAACAAAATGGCACATTTACTTTCAAATTCCAGTTCCGGCACAAGCATAACGCGTAGCATTGCTTCAATGGATGGTGGTGGATAGAGGCCAGTGCCACCATTCTCCAGCCAACATTCGCGCAAACCATCGCCCTTGCATTCGTGTGCTATAAGCGCATCGATGAAGAGCAGACGACAACTTCCAGTCTTCTTTGAGATAAAATTTTCATTGCTGCGTGCGAAGAAATCACGCCTACGCGCATAAAGATTCTTCAAATCATCGTAAGGATATTGTATGGTGTTTGTGTTAGACTGGTTAGCCTTGTAGACAACCTTGTTCTTGCCATACGGTTTGTATAGGCTAAAATTGTTACGATTTTGCTGCATTTCCGGTAGTAAACCAATGTTCAGCAACCAGAGCAACACATCTTGATACTCGGAAGCCATTTTCAATGACTTGTGTTGCGTTTCGAGCTTGAGGTAAACTGGTATAAATATATTAATTACATTTGGCTTAAATATATTTTATTTTTTATTGCTTTTGTATAATTTCTCACCGTTATCGGGTATATAGCGTTTGCCTGTGGTTAGTACCTCATTGAGCAAATCGCCTAAGCGTTTCAGCTGGCGCGTCAAGAAGCCCAACTCTTTCTGCTCACGTTGATCCAATGGAAAACCGGCATAATCGAATAGACCCTTTGAAAGGTCATTGCAACGTGCCTTAATGTTGGTGGCACGTTTCCAAATCCAATTGGTGAGTGTAGAAAGCGAAATACCGGTGGTGGCCGTGAAGTTGCAACCCATGAAACTGCCGTCTGCCCAACATTTAGCACAATCGCGAAGTAGACTGAAACAATTGTGTTCCAAAGCGACCGATAGAATTGTTTCAAAAATGGCGAGCTACGAATAGAGAACAGATATTTTTAAATTTATATACTGTGTCGAGGTCATAAATTACAATTATTCAAATTGCTTATTATATCTTTTTTTATGCTCTGAATAGGGTACATTAAGTCTGCCACGAAGTTTGTAACACTCAGAAGCAAACGTCGGCGGCCCTATAAAAATATATATACCTCAGTTATTGAGTTATCGATGTAAAATACGTCCGTTTCTCAACAAAAGCATCATCGATATAGCATATAGCTACCATACTAACGGACTTTCCATGTATGGAAAGCTTTTTTGTTTGACAAGATATCTTTACGAAATTTGGCGTGGTTTATTTTCCAAGGCAACGTTGCAATATCCGTACAAATTATTCAGATCGGAGGACTATAGAATATAGCTGTCATACAAACTGATTCATCAAAATCAAGTCCTTGTATGGAAAACTTTTTTCATTGACAGCATATCTTCACGAAATTTGGAATACAATCTTACTTAGGATAACGATACAATCTCTGAACAAATTGTTTAGATCGGACGACTATAGAATATAGCTGCCGTACAAACTGACCGATCAAAATCAAGTTCCAAATTACTTCAGCGATGTTTTCTGCGGCTACAACAACAATCAACCAAATTCATAAATAATTAGTACCTAAAAGTTGAATACAGAGTCTTTCCTCGCTTATTAATTCGTGGTATAGTAGCTATCGTTATCCTTATATTAAGACACCCAATACGACACAGGGTGACTACCCATTAAATTTTGAGGAGCATTAAAAAATATTGAATGTTCTGCCGAAACATCTTCATTAGCATAACTAACTGCTTCAAAATTATTGTATACAAATAATAACTTATTTTTTACATACCCGCGAGAAAGTGGAATCCACATTTAGTTCGGAAAATTGCGGTAATAATCGTGTACGCAGAATCTCTCTAAAATACATATCCGGCTCAAGAAAAATACTCGAATTACTGGCACGCAACACATTGATGATTTTATTTTGTGCACCAATCCAGGTGTAGCCAAGTGAGCTGTCCGGTAGTAAGAGTAGACAATCTGGAAGTATTAAGAAATAAAATGTAATATAATTCGATACACAAAATCTTCGGTATACAGAATGTCTATAGGCACTTCCGAGGCGTCTCGGTTATCGTTCTGGCGCGGCACATAGTAATCATACTCACCGAAACTAAGCGAATTGGGATAGAAATGCTCTTCGAAGCGTTGCAACGAATTGAAGTGCGCCACAGTGCTGGGATTAAGATAAGCGCTAAGCGCACGTTGACGCCCACTCAACACGTAACCCGCTAAATAACTGGGATATTTCTGATTCGTAATACTAAATGGCATTTCCTCTTTATACCATTGATTCAAATCAAATATAAGTAACTTATTTTTCTCCTCTTGCGTAGAAAACCAGGTGAGCGCACATAAGCAATAACCATCTTCATCTGTTTGTGTCGTATTGAGATTAGCGCCATTATTATGCAGATTGGTGTTTTGAATTTTATTAATTGACTGACAACCCATGGCGATACTTTTGCTGGCTTCCAACGGTAGTTGTAAACGTATTGTACTTGTGAGGAACGACTACAAATAACTGATTAAGATGTGTTTACAATATTAGATTACACTTAAGATACCTCGAAGTAGTAGAAGCCATCCTTTTCCGCCAAACGTTTCTCATAGATGAGCGTATGCAGTACCGCGCTCAAACTGTCGCCATTCTCGTGCATTGCCCAGATATAAAGGCAATGTCGTGGATCGTCCAAAGGTTCTAGATAGGATAACTTTACTATTGGGGCGATTGCTTGTTCTGGTTGTGGCGTGGCTATGTGTATTATCTGCATTTCAGCCAAATCGTAAAAGGCCAAACGTCCATCTTCCAGGCCGATGGCCAGACCCAGGGACAAGTCAATGGGCAGTAAGCATTGAACAGTGCAAGGAGTGTCGATGACTTTATAGAAAGAAGGGGCGGAAATGGTACTACTTCAATAAAGAGTTACGAATAAGTAGAAAGTAAGCTATTAATAATAGTATATAGCATAATCTTGTTTTAAATTTACAAATTCTTAAAATTTATTTAAAAAAATCTATGAAATACGTTCTTTATATCAGGTTGTTTTTTAAATTTATTTTCCTATTTTTATTGTAATTTTTTTTTAATATGGGCAAAAAATTTTACAAAATTATACAAATTTTTACTTTAGCAGTATATACAAAAAAATTATCTTTTATCAATACAACTTTTCATTTTGCCCTTCGTCAACTCATCAAAACATAACTGGCATTTATAGCAAATGCAACCCTGTGCACAATTTTTATAATTTAATAGTGTGCCCTTTGTGCATTTATGCTGCTACTATATTACTACTACCTTATAAGAACTCAATGAAAAATTTCTATAATACATACTAAAAATCGTAGTAAAAATTATTAATTTAATTTAAAGTAGGAAAAATTTTATTATATTCACTTATTTTCAAAATAAATATTAAATTTAATTATTACAACAAAAAAATTTGTAAATAAAATTTCTACTACTTTTTAAATTTACTACTTTTTTCATGTACAATTTGCAATATGTACTATACTTTTTACAATGTGACGCATTAAAGCACTGTCAGCGGCAAATTAATGAAAAAAATTGAGACTAGTGACAAAATTTGTGATTGTGCGTGCAGAGTGTAATGTAGTTGTTTTAAATTGAAAAAAAAAATATTACTACTGCAAGGTGTAAAATATAAAAAAAAATTTGCGCTACAACCAAAGCGTTTAACAATTTTAAGCTGTATTAATAATAAAAAATACGCATAGCGTGTAAAAATAACCAAGCGTTGCCGCAGTGGTGCAGGAAAATTATATACGTATATTCAACAGTGGCGCCACTTCTAAGAGGGCACCATCAACTTCCACTATTATTTTATTAGGGGATGCCTGGCTGCTAGTGGCGGCAGTGCGACAATAACCGACCATGCCAGCTACTATCTTGTAAAGGTGTGTTTGTATGAGTTTTTATACGCGTTGTTGCTGTTGCGATTCTGCGTGTGTGCTTAAAATTTATATTTTTCTCGGTGAGAAGGCCAACTGCTGGGCAGAATATTAATAATTAAAAAATAATATTTTACGTTGTGTTACACGCAGCATAACACCACATTGCCAATGATAAATAAAATGTTTAAGGAAAATTAATGTCGAAGAAAAATTAAATAATATTTTATTCACTTAAAAATTATTTAATATTTCTATTTTCATTTTTGAATTTTTTTTACAATTTAATTGCATTTTTTTCAAAAAATTTACTCACAAATCTTTCAGTTTTTTAAATTATTTTTTCAATTAAAAAAAAAACATAAATATGTATATTTATATTTATATTGTAGCAAATAATGATTTAAGTATAATAAATTTGTATTAAGTATTCGTCCTGCATGCGCACATTAAGTCACACAAACATTTGCAAATGACATAGCAGTTTGGCTTCGAACGCAAACAATTAAAATGGCAGACAATTTCTGACTATAACTTAGACTTTTTCCTTCATTACATTTAAAAACAGTTTTAAAGCTTATTAGTTATAGCTAGAGATAGAAAATATATAAATATATTTTTTTTTACTAATTAATTTTTAAACATTGGCATATTTTTGAAGAAAAAGTAACAGAAGCAAACATATAAAACACACAAGCTAATTGTACCGATTACCTGCTGAATTGTATTAGTAGTATTATGGGGCCGGTCACAGAGTCACAAAAACAACAACATGACTATACGCAAAAAGTCAATGAAATGCAAAAATTGTTGCCCTATTTGGAACAACGTATTACAAATACAATATTACTTGAAGAAAGCGCCGAAGAACTACAGAAAATGAAAATACTACAGCGAGTATTATGTGGGCAAGAAGCTGTAGATGACAGGTATAAACAAATGCAACCTGGTAGCACACTTTGATTTCTAACTTTTATTAAATATTGCAGTTTGACACTTGAAGAGCTGGATAAATATGCAGTGTTACTACACAACGATATAACAAAGGCATTGGCGTCCACGCCGACGCCGCAACTGACGACAACAGCGTCGTTTGATAGTAACAGTCATGATGATAAGGTGTGTAACTGAAAAAATACTGCAATGTTTTTTACTATGCAGAAGTATTTTAAATTGTTTACACTAGCAATAATTCAATTTTGAGAAAATATCGATTTTATTCAAGAAAATTTAATTTTTTATCACTTTCGTCATTACAGTTCATCACTTTGAGCCAGGCAGAGAAATGTGGGCATAATAATGAGAACAATACGGCCTGTAAGGAAAGTTCAGAGACTTCAAAGCGCACTAGTTCCGACACAACTACAAAGGAAGTTGAAAATAAAGCGCCAGTGAATGAAGAAAATTTAATTCAAGCTCAGGAAAATTTTAAAATAAATAATGAAGCAACCGGCAAGAAGAATAAGAGCTCCGAAGCCTTTGATACAGTTAACAAAAATATTGAAAATACTGACGAAACGTTACAAAACAAATATAAAAGTAAATCCAAAATTTTTAATGAAGACGCTGTAGCACTCGAGCAGCCAATAAAAATAAATGCGTCAGAAAGTGCTGATTTGACAAATGATTGCGCGAAATTCGATGAAACTGGCGAAAACACATTAGTTAATAAGAAGGAAAACGAAGCTTTGAAGCCTAAAGCTATTAGTGAATTAGAAACCTCCGACGCATTTAATAAAGTTAAGGAAACCGATAAGGAAAGTGAAGAAAACCAAATTCAAACGGAACACAAGAAACTTATAACGGAAGATGTTGAAGAATTGGAATATGAAGGTATTGAATTAATCAAAATTCCCGAAGAAACTGTAGAAGATGAAATGATTTTACCGGACTCAGTGGATGAAGGAGAATATGTGGCACACAATAGTGATGACGAGGAAGATAAAGAAAGTAAGCACGCCGAGGAGGTGGGTATTGAGGAAGAAGAAGATGAAGAGGAACTTATCAACTGTGGCGATAAAAACACTGCCGACAAAATTCAAGACGAAAGCAAGACGAATACAATGCAAGTTGGCAAGAGTAAAAATAACGTTAGGGAAGATTCGCAGGAACCACTTGAAAAAGAAAACGAAGATAGTACATGTGAAGAAGCGTGTATGGCACAACCACAAGTCGAGGAAAGCAGCGATGCGCCCACATGTAGCATAGAGGAAAATAACTCTTCACATGTAGAGTTCGCTATAGAAATGCACACCCAGATAGATAATGCGCCAGATTTGGAAGAAACAACGCATATTGACGATCCACTTGGCCAAGTGGACAGCACGCTAGAAGCGGTAAGTCTGCAAATTAGTGCGAGAACTGAGACAACGTCTACTCTAAATAGTGTGGAAGTTACACAAACACTTTTGGCCGCCGTTAATAATGCGTCCACAGCACCTGGTGACAATGATGATGACGATGTGGAAATCATTGAATCACGCAATTCGCCTATTTGTTTGGATACAGACGATGAAGATGAGGCGCAAGTGGGTAAGATGTCTGTCAACACAAGACCGGATACAACTATAACTCGAACGTTTACTAATAAGAAAAATACTGGAAAAGAAAAACGCTTTCAAGGCAACAACACCAGTTCACAATTGGCTGCCACAAGCAGAATTAAAACAACTAAATCGATAACAGAGACGATAAATCTGCTCGACAGTTCCGATGAGGATGAGGTAAACAGCAGCAATGCAACAAATCGACGCACCAATCGTCGTATCGTCGCACCAACAGTCACCAGATCATTGGTTAAAATACCGGCGATTACTGTAGGCAAAAAGCGCACACTGTTGCCAACGTCGCATCCGCTAAAAGTAAGTCAAGTTGCTGCACGTGGTTCGACAACTTCAACTGGTCGCGCATTGTCCGCCAATACAACCGCATCTGCTGGCGTTGTGCAAAAGACACCCAGGAGTGTGTTACTTTTTCCGCCTAGTTTCAAGCCTACACCGCAGTCAAACTTTTTAAATGCAGTAAATTTACTGCCGGCCGCTGCCACCACAGGCGATAATCCGCCCGCTTTCGCCGCAACACTTTCAAACAAAAATATCATCATACCGAATGCTTTCTATGCCAACCGACGCACCACTAACACTAAGGAAGAAGCGGATGACGCAACTACCCAGGGGACTTCGTCGACATCCAAATGTGCTAAAACGTCGCCAATACTGATTACACAACAACTTGGACGCAGAGTATATCGTGAATGGTTAGAAGAATTCATCGAGAATTTTGCCGACCCGCAACAGATCGTTTCACACTCGTGCCTGGTGCTACTGCAGAGTGCACTTAAATACAAGATATTTCTGCGCATCAAAGACCTGCGCAGTGCGCTTAATAACAAAGCCTACACATCCAATGGCACTGCGGACGCGCAGCTTAGGCGTGAATTGTACAATGCGTTTTATTTGAATGACTGTCGATTGTCGGGTGAAGGTATGCGTTTTTGCACGGAGGCCTGTACACAAATTGGCAACAATGTCACATTAATGACAGATGCGCGTACCGGTCGTATAACATTGCGCACGAGCTCCTATGAAGAGCTGTTGGCCAAATATGGCGGTACCAATGACGTGATCGATGATAAGAAGAAACGAAATAAATATGATGAGGAATACACACCAGCTAAATACTACGAGAAAAAAGTGGAAGAAAGCAATGTTGGTCAGGGAGAACGACGCAAATCGCTTCGTCAACATCGTACACGTTGTTATGATGAAACCTTTTTGTATGAGCCAGAGGAAGCGGATGATGACGAAACGCCTACCGCTGAGAAGAAAGCTGCCACTGACAAACGAAGACAAGATGAGCAGATGATGGCTTTGGTGCAGCGTAAGGCAGAAGAGAAACGTCTGGAAGCAAAGCGACAACGTGAGCAACAAGTCAAATCCTTTGAAAGTGCCTACTTAGAAATGTTTGCCAAATCATTGTGTGGAAAAAATGGAAAAACTGCAGCTGTTATGACTACAAATAGTAGCGGTAAATTTTAAATGCAAACTATATAATAACAAAATATAATAAATAAAAATAATTTCTTTTTCAGGTGGTTCGACGCAAAGTCGCAGTAAAAATGTGTTCACTGATGTCACCGCTACCTCTACCAATAGTCAAATTGTCATCGACGACGACGATGAACAGGGTCTTGACGATGACGAACCACGTTCACATCGCATCTACAAAGTAGTGCCAACACGTTTGTTAGCCGCACCAAAGCGTACGGAAAGAGCCACTATCGTCATTGAAGATGAAGATGCGCCCCGACCGAAACGTGGTCGGCCGCGTAAGCAGGATCTCAGCAATGTAAAAATACAACCAAAGCAAAGCGATCCAGAGCTGATTACATGTGATAGCACATCTGGTGATTCGACTAGCATTGACGATGAGCTACTAATTCAGCCGGATGAAAATGTGCCTAAGAATATTGACGTTAATTGGCATGCTGGCAGTGATTGGTGTAAGATTTGTAATAAGCGCATTCCACGCACAGTGTCGCACTACGTCAATGAACATCCGGATTGTGAAGTTTATATTTCGCGTCTACCTAAAGCAGTTTTGACGCGCGTACGTAAACAGGGCGGCCAAATTTTGGAGATGCGTCCCTACATGAATGGCCAGGAACAATATGCAGCAGAATGTGTGTTTTGCAATAAGACATGCTGCTTCAAGATACCATATTGGTATCAGCATTATTCGATGCATACTGGCGAATACGCTTTTCGTTGCAGTGGCTGCAATACACGCAAAACAACACGTTCGGCAATGATGGCGCACATAAATCAACCTTGTCGAAAACGTGGAAAACTACTCGAAGACTATATATATAATGCGCGCGCTAGACAAATTGAAATGCGCGTCTGTAAGATATGTAATTATATGCAGTTAAATCGTCGCAATGTGATGAAACATTTACGCACTCAGCATGGTCTTACGCCGTTGCCGGCAAAACATATCGATAGTATAATTTTACTGCGCCTGCCTGAGACAGAAATGCACAAAGTTCAGGTAGAGAATGAAGCGATGGATCTGAGTAGCGGCGGCGATGAAAACAGTAGTCAAATGGCAATGACTTTTAATTACGATAATTTCAACGAAGCGAACCAGACCGGGTTTTGGGACGACGGCGATCCAACGGATGACTTGTCCTATATGATTTGCGGTATGCTAGACGTGGAGCTGAAGCATAGTGGCGAATAAACACTGAAGGTTACAAACATTATTTTCTCATATCAAGACCTTCTCACGTTCTCGTTAATATATATATATATATATATATGTATATGGCCATATGCCATTGAATTTTTAATTTCCAATTGGATTTTTAGTTTACTTAAAATTTTTCATTTCTTAAATTAGTTTTCTTTATCTACCATTGTTAGTTTGTAGATTAAAATATCTACAGAGAATTAAACATATAGAATTTAGGGTACTTTAACTTCCAAAAGTAGCATTACATTATAATATTTCGTTTTTTTCCTATGGTTAAACAACCCAAATATTAAACAAGTAAAAATTACTGTTCGAATGATTTAAGTTTAAAAAATAAATGAAATATGTGTGGCTTATTTTAAGCTTAATAAATATTAACAAATATCTTTTAATAATAGTGGTTTAAAAATAAACTTAAAAACATTTTCTTGGCATTTGCTCTGTAATAACTAGTCGTCTACTGAAAACTACTCGAAGTCTACGTCAATTTCCTATTCAAATTTCTCTACATTACATATGCATTGGTGATGCATAAAAAAAAACAATATTCAAGTAACAGTAATTCTTTAACACTTACCCTCTACTTGTAATCCAAAGTGTACACCATCATTACGCGCTCTTTGAAAAGACCGATGTATCTCGGCAAGCGGCAAATTATAGTCCGATAAATGACATACCGTTATTTCATCAGTTAATTGTCTAGTTGGCGCTTTTATACGCTCATCACATGCGTTTAATATTTTGTTGATATTCAAATCCAATAATAAAATAACACCTTCTTCACTGCCAACGGCAAGGCAACCATCGAAATTTTGCAATAGCGACCGTCGACAACAATTTTCACTTATAAAAGCTGCGGCGGTAATATGTAGTGGCAGTTCTATACAGCTCAGCACATGACTATGTTCTATGGAATATATTGCTATAAAGCTACAACCCGGACCAGATGCACGAAAACATTCCAAACATACAGCCAAAAGAACATTCTCGTTATTAAGCGGAAATAATTCCTCTACACAACGAATATAACAGCTGTCATAGCCTCGTGTTTCCACAAATCCGTAAGTAGCAATTATTTGTCCAGTACGTAGCGCTCTAATTTCTAATTCATTACCACTAGATAGCCAACACCATGTACCTCGTTTTATGATCCCTCCTTGTTGTGGCACTGTATGGTATGCAGACACAGTGGTTAACAGCTGCAATATGAAACTGTAACAAATATGACAATATTTACCTGAACAATCTTCATCAGACACTACGTCACTATTGTTCTGTTCCAATTGTTTTTGATCTCGGTGCTGTGTAGCGCCCGGATGTTGCACTCTGGACGAGAATTTGACAGTGCGTCCACCATCTACTTCAATTTCGTACCACTCCATATGTAATAACTTCACAATTTATTTACTTCAATTACAAATTATGCGAATTTATGCAAATCTTATTACTTTTATAAGATTTTTGTTAAAAATTATATTCAGCCGCGCTGATTTCATATGGAATTTATGTTTTTTGCTTCTATTTCGTATTCCGTGCCGGTTGTGTATGTTCAGTGATCGCAAACATTTCAAATGACATTTGAGATTGCCGCTATAAAATACAGAGTTGCTTACTAAAGAAAATTTTTTGTATTGAAAAATGTAAAAATATTTAAAATTCAAAGAGGACAATCAATAATACAAATGTTTTTGTGAAATATTGCTTATGTATAATCCACGTTATGATTAAATTATTTATACATACCTAAATGTTTAAAAAACTGTTCAGACATTCTACAGCTGTCAAGATACAACTACGAGTTGCGTATGTGTCAAAAGGGAGTAGTCCTTTATCGACATTTCCACCACTTTCAAACCCTGTATTCCACAAGGTGAGACAGGCTTGCTGTGTTCTTCTGCATAGAAATTTCAACAAATTAATTTAGCACATTTGTTTTAAAGTCTGATCTCTTTTATGAAAAATTTATTAAAGAGAATTTTTACATGAAGAGGATGTTTACTAAATCCCACGTTGAAGGTTAAACCCATTTGCATAAATAACAAATTACGCCGGTGAAGGATTTGTAACAGGTACACGCGCAAAGACAAAAAGAAGGAAAAGCAAAGAATATAAAAGGTGGCGGTGTGGTGGTGAGGAAGGAGTATTCAAAAGACGAAATTCGCATACCGCACACATCAGACATTTCCATACAGTTTCAAAGGGAACACAAAATTTTGCAAAGATTGTATGTGTGTGGTGGGCCGATTTACGAGACTTGAAATATCTGTGAGTATATATGAAATTCTAAGAGACTGTTGCAGCATGCACTAATTTAGTGGTTAATACATATTCATAGATCAGTTGAAGATAAGTAATTGATCATTGACAGTGGCGGATACAAGAGATTAAAATGACACAACGTGGAAATGTAGCCGCCCTTGGGGAAGAGCTTGCACAGGCCGTGGAATTAATAATGCGCCCAGACACAACACAACAGTCACGTATGGAAGCATACATGGCTTGTGAAAGATTCAAGGAGGAATCGCCTTTGTGTGCTCAAGTTGGGCTTTACCTAGCCAGCGGCCAACAATTTGGTCAAAATGTGAAACACTTTGGTCTACAATTAATGGAATACACAATTAAATTTAAGTGGAACAGCATTTCGCATGAAGAAAAACTCTTCATAAAGGAGAACGCTATGAAGCTCTTACACTTTGGCGTAGGTCCAGCGGAAGATGTGAGTTTAGCACATTTGAAAGATGCGGTATCACGTATTATTGTGGAAATGATAAAACGTGAATGGCCACAGCAATGGACGACACTGTTATCTGAATTATCCGATGCTTGCAATAAAGGTGAACCTCAAACTGAATTAGTGCTTTTGGTTTTTCTACGTCTGGTAGAAGATGTTGCATTACTTCAGACAATTGAATCAAACCAGCGGCGTAAGGATATGTATCAGGCGTTAACCAACAACATGAACGACATATTCGAATTTTTCCAACGACTTATAGAATTGCATGTTACAAAATTCCGCGAAGCCACTGCCGTCGGCAACTTTCAAAAGGCTAATGCACATGGACGTGTGGTGGAAGTTGTATTACTCACACTAACTGGATTCGTAGAATGGGTTTCGATGAACCACATAACGTCAAATAATTGTAAATTATTACAAATACTTTGCATTTTGTTGAACGATAAAGCATTCCAATGCAACGCTGCTGAGTGCCTCTCACAAATAACTAATCGCAAGGGTCAGGTGAAAGAACGAAAACCGTTGTTGATGTTGTTCGGCGAAGAACCAATGCGTTACATATTCACGGCCAGCCAAACGCTTCCAGATGCTGCCAGCGCTACCGCTTTGGAGCAAAATCACAACTTTTTAAAGAAACTGCTAAATATGTTGAGCGGTTTGGCCCAACAAATTGTTATACTTTGGGGTAAGGAAGATGGCAACATACAGCGACCACCAAACTTTGAAATATTTCTCGAATGTTTGCTATTACTTGCGAGCCATCATTCGCTAACGGTGGCTCATGGTGCCACACTTATTTGGAATGTGTTGTTAAAACACGATGCCATTTCCAAAGATGTTACAGTGGTTCCTTACATTCCAAAATTGATAGCCGTTATTGGTCCGCGTATTATCAAAACGTTATACCCCAGCACACGAACTCTACCCACTACAGTTTCGACAGCGGCATACATTTGCTTAGAATATGACAGCGAAGAGGAGTTCGCTGTTTTCTATTACCGCTGCCGCACCGACTTTCTGGAGGTTTTTCGTCAAGCAACGCTGATTCAGCCTATCGTCACATTTACCTATTGTGAACAGTGGCTCAATGCACGTTTGTCCAAAGCACATACTGAACGCAACAACGTAAATTGTTCTGTACAAGATCCTGTCTACATGGAATGGGAGGCGCTGGTATGTGTAATCGATGGTGTTCTTAGTCGTATACTGCTGGTGTCTGAGCGCCCATCAGTACAATCGGGTTTGCGTTTGCTGGAGGAGTGTCTGAAAGTGGAAACCAGCGATCCATTAATACTCTCCATACTGCTCTCGTGTATTTCGGCGCTTTTCGTATTCCTTAGTATGTCGTCGTGTCAGATAACGCCAAATAATTGTGTAGCCATGAGTGGCGTATCTTTGTTGCCACGTGTGCTGGAGCGTATATTCCAGGCACTTGTCTTTCGTGATCCCACCGAACCGAATACAGACACAACAAGAGCGCAAGCCACAAAAAATTTACGACGTCATGCTGCCTCGTTGATGGTTAAGTTGGGTCACAAATACCCATTGCTACTGCTGCCCGTTTTCGATCAGATCGACTCTCATGTGCGGGCACTACTTGAAGATCCCCGACAAGCGCTTAATAAAATGGAACGTACTACGCTACAGGAGGCTCTTTTGTTAATATCCAATCATTTTTGCGATTACGAACGGCAGACTGTATTTGTGGCAAACATAATAAAGGACACACTACCACATTGGCCAACATTCGCAGAGGTTTTTAAATCGCCATACACATTTATACAGTTCGTGGGGCTGAACAAACCAGCAGTAACGCCAATTCAATCAGATCCACTCGGTTTGAATCGTGGTCACATGCTGGACGCTCTAAACGTTGTGTTGGCTGTTATTAAACGTTGCACCTGGCCTGACGATCCGGATCGTGCGTCTCGTGGTGGTTTTGTAGTTGGTTTCACAGAGCTTGGAAATCCTATTTGCCGTAATCCAGCCACACCACATGTCATTCCACTGCTGCCGCACATACTTGCGTTAATGCGTGTGCTCAACGAGCTCTACCGCCCGCAAGCCATGGCCTTGCTTTCGGAGGATTTCCGCAATGTATACACGCTGTTAGAGCATGAGAAAAAGATGTTGTTGGGTGTGTGTACACCTCCCGCCGATCCGCTTGATCCAACTGTCAAAAAGATGACTAGTACCGTGGACCGTATACAGCAATTTATGGCATTGCTATATGAGAGCTGTTATCACATGATGGGCTCAGCGGGTCCCTCTCTCGGTCGTGATCTTTATCAACTACAAGGCATTGCTGACGCGTTAATTAACAGCGTTTTCGCATCGTTAGAAGATGTGCCTGATTATCGGCTGCGTCCCATTGTACGCGTCTTCTTCAAACCGTTTGTATATTCTTGCCCGCCCGCCTTCTACGATTCGGTGCTAGTGCCGATATTTGCACATTTAGCGCCATTCATGTGCTATCACCTGATGCAGCGCTGGACATACATATCTTCGTTGTACGAATCGGGTCAATTGAATGAGGAGTCAAATGACACGCAAGAGGTGCTGGAAGATATGCTGAATCGTTCTTTGACACGTGAATATCTGGACGTGCTGAAAATTGCGCTTGTTGGTGCTGGCACTGACGGTGTTCACGCAGCCGCAAACATAACGGACGTTGCCATGGAGCCGGAGGAGCACTCCATGGATGGCACAACACAATCACGTGCAGCACAATCGGCATTGCTGTCCGACATTATCAGTGACTTGGGCGCTAAACTATTACGCAACGACGCAACAAGCAACTACATACTTATGACACTGATGGCCGCGTTATCTTGGCAAGACGGCACTTGCAGTATGAAAGCAGTTAATGTGGTAGCGCCGGTGATGCGTTTCTTGGCGACCAACGAGATACAGTTAATGGACCAAAACAAAGCAACGACCGCATTCCAAGCCGTGCTGCAGGGCCTACAAGTGCATGGCATGCATGATGCCAATCAAGCAGGACTTATAACGCTCGGTGTGCAATTCTATGAGCTGTTGCGCCCCAAATTCCCCATACTCAGCGAAGTGTTACGTAATATACCAAACGTGAATGCGGCGGATATACAGAAATTCGATGAGAAAGTAAGCGTGGCACCTTTGAAAGGCAACAAAGTGGACAAAGCCAAGAAGGATTTGTTTAAAAAGATGACCGCGCGCCTAGTGGGCCGTAGCGTAAATCAGATGTTCAGCCGCCAAATCGAAATTCTGAATTTGCCACCAATGCAGACGCGTGCACCTAAACCCAACACAGACATTGTGGATATTACGCAAAATTCGGGCATAACGCAGCTATTCCGCACGGAAAAGTGACCATTGGAGAAAGCAGCTGGTCATGCAACTAATGAAAAATGTGCGTATCTAAAACAAGCGAATTTTAATTTTAGAAATAATTTATTCCAATATTTTTTTTTTGTTTTTTCTAGCTTGAATTTAAAGACTTTGATGTATGTATGAAATGCTTATGCCGCTCAGAGACTGCGCTACAAATGATTATTTGGTTAAAAAATGCGTATTAATTGCATAACCAATAGGGAAAAATGTAAACTGGTGCAGCGTAGATTAATATATAAATATACATACACACTTATATACAACTTGGTGGGGAAGTGAAAGGCCGTTTGGAAATGTACTAACGCGAAATTCCATCAACTATACTACAAAATGTAGAACGAAATTACTTATTTACTTAGCTACATATGAAGTAATTTATAAATTATATATGTAAATGAATATATATGTTTATGTATATATATATACATAAATAATGTTTTTATTTAATTTTCAGTTTTAAAATTGTTTCTATTTGCGAAAATTTGCACTGTTTTTATGAATATTTTAAAATATTATGTAAGCGATTCTTTAGATATTTTTATTAAGCTATTATAAACGAAGTGAAGTATGAACGAAATAAACGAATTGCGTCTAAGCCGAGTGAAGCTTGAATGGTAGATAAAATATGTTTGATAACTTTAAATGAAAAAGCTGGGAAACACTTCTGGATTGGCAAGTAGTTATATCTGAGGCCCAGGTTTATTAGGCAAATAGCGCTAACTAAAACGTAACGTGTAAAGCGTATATTGTAATCGGCAAATACGCATGTGAAACGTAAGACCAGTAGTTGCATTTCATATACATATGTACAATTGGCAGAAAAAATAATCAATAAAAAATATACTCACTATTGAGAAATCAAAAATATTTATTTTCTTACACTTAATAGCTATATACAAAAATTTGATATTTAGATGCGTTGGTTTTGTTGTGAATGATGCACTCGTATTAAAAGATAAATAGTTAACATTTAAAATAGATATGGCAATTTATTTTGTTTTATATTTCTCTAATAATCCGTTATAGTTTCTCTCTTTTGTTTGTTAATTATAAAATTAAAAAAAAAAAAAAATAAAAATAAAATTTTAATTAAATGCAAGTTATAAACAATTAAAATAATTATAGTGTTGCGAAGGAACAAAAGAGGCAAGCATATGTCGTATTTTTGGGTTATACATATACATATATACTTAGATTAAATCTTAAATACAACAACATAAATATAAAACTTCGTAATGAAGCACCGTTTTTTGTTTCTAAGCTTTTCTTATATTAAAAACTTTATCAACTACTCTTTACACTAGCTATTAAATGTATAATATAAAAATATTCAACATAAATAATAACACTATATTTACATGTTCCTTTTTGTTTAATGTTTAAATATAATATATATATATATATATATTAAATACATATATGTATATATATTAAATACATATATTTATATATATTATATGTGTGTATCTATATTAATATTATATACACACAAATGTTTTGTTTCGGTTATTGTTACGTTTTATATTTGTATCGAACTGTTCGAATTATCGATAAATTTTGCTCAACTTTCACTTCCGGCTGTCACTAACCATTTAAAAGTAACAAATATGTTAAGCTTCGGTATGATTGAAATGTTGTGCATAGTGCTTGAAAATATTATTTATACATACAGTTATTTAATAACAATGTTAAAGACTACACCAACGTTGATAGTTCATGCAGTGAAGGACTGGTTATGTTGCTCATATCCAGCGTGCCGGGTATGCCCGGACTAACTGAGCCGCTAGCCTCACGCGCGCTTAACGTCAAACAACCGCCACCGTTTGATAATTGTGGTGGCAACGGTTTGGGTGTGGGCGGTGTTGCTGTTGATGGGCGTATTAGAAATGACGAATTTAGTGCACCCGCTGAGAGTAACGCGTTAAAGCTGCCGTGTGAATGATTTGGTGAGACCGGTGTCACGGAAGTCGGATGTAGTTGTGCGCCTAATTGTGTTTGTGTTTGCGATTGTGGCTGTGCATGCGTGTGTGGGTGTGCAGCATGCATATGCGGCGCATAACTCATAAAGTGGTGCGTTTGGTGAGGACTTAAAAATTGCGCAGGCGGTGTTATGGGCCCAATGTGTGATACCATAGACATATTCAATGGTGGACTCCGATAGCTAATGGTTTTCTCCTTCTGCCAAATAAAAACATTATGGACCATTGCGCCGCCGCAAAATACGATGCCAATGCCGATAAGTACGCTTGTGATAATAGCTGGTGTTGAGTGAAAATGGTTGAATGTATACAGGATAATGCCTGCAAAAGAAAATAAATGTTAAATGCTTGCATATAATTGGAATTTCTTCCTAGCTGTGCGCCAACTTACCCGTGAGAAAAATTGGTATGGATATAAAGAAACCACCGACAGCACAGGTGCGACTCGCACTTGATTTTTCCAAATATTTGTTATCTCTGTAACGAAAAAAAAAAAAGAAAAGAAGCGAAATACGAAATAAATACAGATTTCTAAACGTACCATCAACAGTAAGCACAAGAAATATCACTCTTACCTGCCATCAAACATTGGTGATCGCACCAATTTCACAGCGAATAGAAACTGTATTGCACACACCAGCAAACAGCATAGATTTAGTGACAGCGAAAGTGCACAGAGCGCCAACGTTACATCGTAGACAATTACGAAATCCTCAGCAGAGCTGCGCGTTAAAGCATCTTCGCGGGCATTCGGTGAAATTTTCAGCAGAAAAATTAATGACAGTAGCGCTAATAGTAGGGAAACTGCAAGCGGCATAAGGAGTAAAAGGAAACAAAACAAGCCAATGATTTACAGGTAATTAAGTACAAATGTGGAGTAAAACTACTTTTATATACAGTTACATACATATGCGCTACTTGATAAGAGGAAAGTTAACAAATATGGTGAGATTTGACTATTTTATTATTTTATTATATTATATATATATACACTCAGAGAAAAAAAAACGCAGTCGAAAATTTTCTAATATTCCATTTTTAAACTGTTACTATTCGCTCAAAATATGCTATTTGTCTGTTTTGACCTTTTTATTATGTGACTACATTGGTTTACCGTTATTCCTGAAACCGTTAGTTTCTGAACGCGTTTATTTCAGTATTTACGGTAGTTTCTTTTGAGTCAGTTGTAAAAATAAGCAAAGTTGAACATGCTGTTGTCAATAGAGAAGAAAGCAGTATTCATAGCTTTATACTTATATATTTATATTAATAAATTATTTTATGTTGTCTTTTGAATATTTTTTGTTAAAATCCGATAGTAATTATAGTTTTTAATAGAGATACAACAGCAAAACAATATTAAAAAATAACTTTTAAAAATTTAATTAAAAAAATTTTTTTTTTTTAATTTTAATATAAAGTTTTCTATACAAGAATTTGATTTTGATCGGTCAGTTTGTATACTATAGCGGTCCGATACCGGCGGTTCCGACAAATGACCAGTTTCTTGGCGCGAAAAGGACGTGTGCAAAAATTCAGAACGATACCTCAAAAACTGAGGTAATAATTCGCATATACATATGCAGACAGACAGATATACGTATATGGCTTAATCAATCCAGCTCGCCATGCTAATCATGTATGTATATAATTTATAGGGTATCCGACGTTTCCTTCGAGGTTTTACAAAATTCAGGCTGTAATAAATTCAGAATTTTTTTTTATATTGACGTCAATATTACCTAAGCATAATAGCCCCAAACTCGTTAGCGCCTCTCGTGGTCCTGGTCCATGTTTCGATTGATTTATCAGCACACCCGTTGTCAGATTATGACAATTGCTATAATTATGATTATTATAATGTGCGGTACTGTTGTTGTTATTATTATTATGATTTGTATTTGTATTTATTGTGCCAACAGTTGTGTTGTGCGCATTACTATTGTTATTGTTGTTGCAAGCTAGAATATGCTGATTTGTATATGTGTGCAAATTATTGCCAATTCCATTCGGTGTCAGGGGTGTAACTGGCGTCGCTGTTGTTGCCGTTGTCGTATTACCAACGCTCGATGTTAACGGTGTTAATGTATTTGTTGTGCCCGCCGTTATCGGTGTTGAAGCGATATTTAATAATGTGGGTACGCGTTGACCTCCGTTCGCCGTCGCCGGCGTGTTGGCCGCGGTTTGTAGGGCGTTCTGTGTGGCACTTAAAGTGGAGATATTGAGCGGTTGTTGCGGACGCAGGTGTATATTGCGGTTAGAGGCCGTTGTAGAGTTGCCATTATTGGGATTATTACGCAACTGACCATTCGCTGGTCCGACGCCCACTCCACCGGCATTTGAGGTGTGTTTTAACATTCTGCGAACTTCAAGAATTATTTCAGTGGGCAGCAGATTAGTTCCGTCGCGTTTTGGCGTTTCTGGTCACATTCTGTTTAGATTCTGCGAAAGAAAGAGACAATTTGTTGAAAATAAGCAGTATATATGCAAGTGTGTACAACTTTATTTACGTTAAATCTTCAAAAATTTAATTTTTCTACACGTTGTAGAAAGAGCGACACCGAAGAAACCAAAATTCCTTGCAGGTCATACGAACCGTGTCTTATTACAAGTTTTTGAAGGCGTTAATAAAGACTTGTATTAAAAGGCGTGAAAATGTAGGATTTTTTTCGTCAGTCCGAGTCAAATTTGATCAGCTGGTAATAATTTCTTATTCGTATGCACCATTAAACATAACTACATACATATGTAAATATGTAAGGCCAATTTAAATTATTGTTGCGGCAGAATTGCAAAATCACCGAAGCATGCTATTTGTACTTGTAAAATCATTTATGTTGGTACATGTTATTATCTCATCGTCGTTAGATTTTCTGATTAAAGAATTTTGTGAATGTTTTTCAGCCATAAATTTAAATTTCTATACCAAACATAAACATATTTGTAATTAGCGTGCAACACATTGATTGCCTTAAGCCTTAGATGAGCTTAATGGAAGCAAAAACAATGCACTAACAGTTACAACTCTGCTGCATACTAGGGTGGTCCAAGAAAACGCCGATCTAGAAAAGAAAAAAGTTGTCAACATCAGTTTATATAGCTGTTGTATGTTAGAGTGGTTGATTTTGATCGATCCATTTGTATGACAGCTACATATAAGCTATGGCGGTCTGATATCGGCGGTGCTGACAACGCGGCTTTTTGACTAAAAAATACACTTTTTGACTTGAACACCTTGTTAAAGATATAGTTTAAGTAGTGACAATTAGACTCAGCGCAAAATATACCAGAAGTAGTTTGGAGCAATGCTGCCGAGTTGACAGTCCTTGACCGAATAAATATCCGTTACCTTCCGCTTACTTAGATCCGACTGCCGTGGTAACGGTAGCCAATTCGTCTTCGCAATCAGTTCGAAGTAGATATTTCATAGGATCTTTCGGACCACCTTTGCATGCATTTCCGTAACGAAATTCGCGCCAATACAAGCGAAAAAAAAAAAACTGAAGATAATACTTGAGAGCTTCATCTAACACCTAAATATGAATGAACAAGCAAGCAAATGACAGCGCCGTGCATGTGATTTGTATAGTGTACACAAATAGCTCCGTAACTACTTGTTGGCGAGTCTTTCATCGCCTCAACTTTCTTTCCACACAACTCCTCTCCACAGCCTAAACGTGAACTTGACGCAGCCTTGTGCGACCTCTTGCAGCACGCTTGTTGTTGTTTGTTATTTATCCATTTATTCCGCCAAGACTTTTCTTTTCCAACTGCTTAGCGGATTCTTATTTTCCGCATGTTGTTTTTCCAAGCTTCTTCCCAGCTATGCATTATATGTATGAGCCTCAGCATTCGCATGCTAGCGGTCGGTGTTTTGAACTTGGTGAAAATGCAATTTGCCGTTGAGTGTAGCTTTGTACGAGTTGATTGGAGTTGGTGTTGTTGCTTTCATGTACCATCTCATTTAATGCAAATTTCTTTCACGTGCAATTTGTGCATTTAATTGCATTGTTCGCTTCTCTTCCCATTGTTTCTATTTCTAATTTAGTAAATTTTATTTTTGATGCATGTATGTATGTATGTGAAATTACAGCTTTATGCAGTTTCTCTGCTCACAACTACACTAAGAAGTTCTCAAACCAAGTGAAAGTTTAAAAATCAATTTAAAATTTTAAAAATCTTTCGAAAGTTTGTCATGTGCGTACAACACTTTTTAAAATTTTTATGCGATAAACCTTACAAAAAAACTCAAAAATAAAACGGTAAAAAATTGCAAAGGTATATAAACACGAAACAGCAACAAACTAGATACTTCGGAGTACCATTAAAAATCTACTTTACAAAAGCTTATATCTTTGGTATGTGCTCATCGGGTTACGGCTGCAGCCGAGAACACTGTATACACTCAAAGACCGACGAATCAAAAATATTTGCAAAAACGCTTACGGAAATGCTTTCTGCTACTAAAATCTCGACAGCTTCATCAATAGTTTCGATAAGCACCACTAGAAGCGGAATCTTTAATAACTGCAAAATTATACTATTGAAAGTCGGCTCTCCGGCGGTGAGTAGGCTTCTCAAATTAGTTTTCGGAGGCGCTACATTTGTCGAATAACCCAAGATGTACACCAGAAATAGAAGCAGCTCGTCAAGACAGTTCACCGCTAATTTAATAAACCGCTAATTAAATAAATGGTTAACAGTTCACCGACAACAAAAGAGTACCGTTATTTGCATTAAAGTCATTTGAACTGTTTTAGTCACCGAATGCTATTTAACTACCAGTCCGCTCGGGAATTTCTCAAGGGCGCACTTTACTCATGTATGACTTAATACGAGACACGCTCATTTCCATAATTTTACTCTCAAACTCGTTTCCTGTTTAAGTTGATAGCGATGGAAATCATCCTTGCTTTACTGCAAACGGTTCTATGAGAGGTCAATGAAGAAAATAATTTCACATAACATACGAGTATATCTCCAATTATGTGGATGGCTCTAGGCGCTTGGCAGATATACGACGGTCTTTTTTAACCGTGCTTAGGACTTCTGCGCATCACAGCGGACAAGCGTCGTTAGCAGTCCCACCTGGGATGATTCATGGTCGCACTAATAACAGCCTATTTACCTAACCTAACCTATGTATATCTCCAATATGCGGAAATGCTTACGATGGCGTCAACCAGTCCACCCTCAACCTTAGTAAAGTTAAAGCCCATCAGCTTCGGTTCTCATGTGAAAACAAATTTAGTTCTTCTTTAAAGAGGAATGAATAAATTAGTCTAAGAACATATTCATTATATTTAGTGTATTAATACAGAATGTGGTAGGGTTTGACAAGTATATTTTACTTCGAGACATTCAAAAATATTTGTGAGAGAAAAGTCATTGATTTTTTTTTTTGAAAATGCAGCAAGCCTAATTAAGACAAATAGAATATCTAACAACTAATCAAAATATACGCGGCCTTGTTCATATACCATTTTTTCCTACATTGCTGCAATCTTTTTTTTTTAACTCGAAGTTTAGTCTCCATATGTGATGCATACTTTCCACGGCAGTCGGGTCTACGTAATCGGTACGCACACGGTTTGTTTGCCGACCAAGGACTATCAACTCTCCGGCATTGCTTAAAAATAGTTTGGGAATGTTTACTTCCGCTACTACAAGAACAAAAAACAGAAGAACAGAACATAAGAGAAATGCATTAAAACAAAGAAAACGCGTAGTAGAGAGCGATACTAAAAAAAAAATTATTAAATAAATGCCAAGCTGAAAAATTTACGAAAAACTACGAATAATTGTGCGACTACGCCTTACGTAGTGAATGCAAGGAGCGCGTGCGCGCTGCGCATATGCTCGAAAACGGCCGTTATGAATGCAAGCGTGTCAATGGCGGCAGCAAAGCCGGCGCTGTTTCACAAAACCCCAATGACGCTGCACACCAATTCCCGAAGCATATAAAAAATTATAGAAAATATGTATTAATATACATATATACTTATGTAGGGTATATACATAAGTGCGTTTAAATACCAATGAGCAACTCGCAAGACAAACATGTATATTACAAGGGTGAGCGGACGTTGAAATTTCTTGTGTCTTTTTTTAACTTTTTATTTGTGTTTGTTCGAAACCACAGTGCACGCAGTGTTTGTCGACGACCGGTGTTTTAGGGGCGGTTTGCGCGTTACGCGAGGGTGGCGATGTTAACGGACAGGTGTTGCTGTCAAAGAAAGCTGAAAATACTGAATAAGAACGCATCAACAGTCTATACAAATGCTACTTTAGTAATGTATGTACACACACGTGCTAACCACGCAAGGCATAAAAACTATCGTGTAGTGTAGAATATGAACGGCATGTCGTTTTCAAGCGTAGAACCGGCATTGGTTGACTTCGGGTTGCAAAAAAACTATCAATTTCCGTACTTAACAAGTTCGTCGAACTATGATGATTTTGTTATAAACCCAAAATTGGTTGGCAATCACTGGATATTCATGATCTTGAGCTTACAGTTATGTACCTGTTGTCAATCTTACTATGGTAAATGACTGAGGCTACTGCGGTCTTCTTTTAGTAGCCGATGTTGATTTCATATGAAAGTGAGTCCGTCGAAATACGCCTATCAAAGCATAATACCTCAATTACCACAATCGTACATCGTTGCAGCTGGCAGCGCCAAATGCAGGTACTCAGCCAACTACCAATCGGAAAAAATCACTGACATAATCTAATCATATTAATACGGCATATAGTGGAACATACGTATATAATGCCAACTAACGAAACCAGCATAGTGCAAATTCTCCAACACAACATATCATTTGGTCACACATTCGTGACATAATTGAGTGTCTGTCATCCGGCGCTACGAAAAATCCCTAACACATCACAAGATTCGCTCACTTCATAACATTTGATATCACTACCTAGGATGCCTGCCTGGCCAGCTGGTGCAGCAGGCTTTCTTATATAGTGCAGAGCCCGCTCTGCCACCAAACGAGCGGTAAAATAAGTCACCATGATCAAATCATATGATATGGTCACTACGTCGCACGCGATATCACACGTTGTGGTGCCGGTCTGCCCAGCTGGCGTAGCAGGCTTTCTTATATAGTGCAGAGCCGGCTGGCTACCAAGCAAGCGGTGCGAAAAGTCACACGCGCATCATATGATATGGTCACTATGTTACATGCGATATTACACGTTGTGGTGCCGGCCTGCCCAGCTGGCGTAGCAAGCTTTCTTATATAGTGCAGAGCCGTCCGGCCACTATAGTCAACAGCACATCATATGACATGGTCACTACGTCGCATGCGATATCACATGTTGTGTTGCCGGCCTTCCAAACTGGTGTAGCAGGCTTTCTTATAAAGTGCAGAGCCGGCCAGTGGTGCTAAACCTGGCGAAAACGTCATATGATTTGGTCATATCGTCAGAACTGATATTACATCTTAGCTAGCCTACTGCCAGATGGGAATTTGATTAATTTTAGAAATGTGCTTGGGCTTAGTAACTCTAATAATGTTGTATCGAAAATCATTAGCTGTAACATTTTTTTATATTAACATTGAGCTTCTTAATCTCTGCCCTATAGTTTTCACTTTGTTGCCATCACTTGTTAAATTTTCTTATTAAAAAAAGTTGAAATTGCTGCTGAATATTACACAGTACAACAATGATGATGGCATTCTTCTTCGTATCGTGATAATTGTTTTTCCTCATTATTGATACATAGACACACGCATATGTATAAGTAGACAATCATACAAATATTTGTTAAGAATTCCATTGCCAGCAGAATCTATAATCAAAAACTGCTACTCAAGTGAATTGCACTCAATATCTGTGTTTGTTGTAGTGGCAAGTGACCGTTGGCCGCTTTGAAATTTCCACCACAGCGGCACAGCGGCACAAACAAATCATCCGAACGGCGAGGCACTTTTGTTTTTATTTTAATGAACCAAATTTGACTGGTTCGACTGGCTGTTTCTACTTCTGCTTGTGTTGTGTTGTCTGTTCTTTTCAGTTGAAGAATGTTTGTAGTTGTTGTTATTTTTTTGAACCAACACTGTGCGCACAGCGCTTTTAAGCTTTGGTCCACTACTAAACGCTTATTGAATGCTGTAATGCTGTTGCAGGGGTATTCCAATGATCTTTGTCGATATTGAGAACTTGTTTGTGCTGCCGCTGGGAATGTTGAGCATGCGCACTACTAGCTCGCCTAAGAGCGAGCGGCTTGGATGGCTCTTGCGAACTAGCAAACATGTTTTGATGACGAGGTTTTATATTTTACAGGTGGGTTGTGATTTTTTTTTGTGTCTGCCTGTATAAATACTGTAATTTGTTTATGCTGTTAATATTAAATACTTTTTTTATAACCAAAACAGCTTTGATGATAAGGCATGATGACGTATAAAATTTTGTGTAAAAGTTGAGTGCGTCAGGTTGTGTTGATTTGTTATTTTTTTATTCGCGAGCGGAAAGAAATTTACTTTAAATTTTATCGCTACAAATTCGGAACGGATATTTTGACGGAGTTAAATTATAAAATTGTAGCAAAATTTTATTTATTGTAACAGCGACCTTCGACAGACTATCTGAAACCACCGAATGTGTATTTCCGTTATGAAAAAACTGCTAATAAAATTTAACAAATACTTCAACTAACAGTGGTCCGCTGCAGTCAATGTCAAACCTCCATGAGCGCTCTCATATTACAACTATAGTGAAGTTTATGACTATTTAACTGATAAATTGAACTTTCTTTTAATATTTATTATAATTTGTTGAACTCTGAACAGAGTTTATTAAGTTCGCCATGAAGTTTGCAAATCCAGTAGCGTCGATTTAGCCTTATCCGACTGTCCATCTCTCTGTATATATGCGAACAAGTCTTTCAGTTTTTGAGCTATCAATTAGAAATTTCGATTTTCAGGTCTCTTTCTCCCCAAAAAGCTGCTCATTTGGCGGCCCCACTGATATCGGACCACTGTGGTATATACATAGCTGCCATACAAACTGAACGATCAAAATCAAGTTCTTGTATGCAAACCTTTTTTTTTAGTTTATAAAAGTTGCTTTAATTTCGGTGCAACTGAATTCAACTTTTTTTTTTGGTTTTTTGTTACATTCGTATTATATATAATACATAGTTACAGTCCATTTTCACTTTCGACACTTTGCCTTAGCAAATCTAACAATGCATATGTCAAGTGCCGCGCAAATTGCAATGCCTTTTTCATATTTGTTACTTTTTTTTCGTACAGAATTGCTACAAAAGTTAATCCTTTTCACGCTGCATTAAGACGTGCGTCTGCACTTTGCCTTACGTTTGTTTACTTACCTGTCGAAGTGCGAGTTCGTGCCTTCCAACGACAGGTAGTTGCTGTTTCTTGTGTTGTTTGCTGCTTATTCCCGATTTTCACATTTGCTAATACAATGTTGGTGAGAATATTTGTTTTCCATTTACTTTCTGCAACATTTGCTTTCAAATATTTTGGTGCGTTTTTCGTTTAAATGCAATTTCAAATTGAAACAGCAATGCAATAATCACACTTGTGTGTATGTATATCGATAACATTCAATCACTGCACATCTTAGCTTTTACAAAACGGCACTGTGGTGTGTATTTTCGTTTGGCAAAAATACGTTATTTGCGAAAATTAACTTATTTGCATAAAAGTTATTTTAAATCGCGTGCGCGTGTTCAAATACAGAGTACGTACGAATGTGTGCGTGCCTGAATTCGTTTATTCGCGCGTTCATTGCCTATTAGCCGTATCGTGTTGCAAGTAGCCGTTGTACGGAAATATGCGGCCAATTTTCTATATTGCGTCTTTTTTTGTGTGTTTGTGTCAGCGTACTGCAGGAAATAACTCTAGGCCGAACGGCAGCTCTAAAGAAATCGCACTAGCCATGCCAATGGGCGTACACATACACCACTATAAAATGAGCGCCCACAACTTCAAACAAATACCAAAATTTACAAAATTCGACATAAACGAGCGCACATCGAACATTTTCGTAAAATTTTATGCGAGTACCGAAACAATTATTTTTGCTGCTTTTGCAGTTTTGCCAAATTTTTTTTATATTTTATTTGAAACTTCATAACAATGTGTGTCTGTATGTGCATTTGTGCGCGAAATTCTTAGCAGTAGCGCTAGAAACCGTCCTTTTACATACGAAATAAGCGACTGCGCGTATGCGGTGTTGTTGCGCGACAATTTCCGACGACGTTCTCAACCTGACTGACTGATTGAGTGGCGAGTGCACAAAGTAAGTGAGACCAAAACCAATGCTAAACAAGTCAAAACTAAAGGCATACAGTTGAAATGAAATAAAAAGAAAAGGCAATTTCAAATGATATATGAAAAAGCAATGGCAAATGCACAAAAGCAAAAGTAAAAGCAAAAACCAAACGGTTGGTAATTGTATCTGCGCGCTGCTGTTGAATGGGAATTTGGTTGTAGTACATATACATATGTATATACATACTACACACATATGGACAAAATATACATGAACCTGATCAACCGACAACAATAGCAATAAAAGCAATGTCTTGAAATTGTTGTAGTTGCAGGGCCGCATTCCTCTCCTTGGTATAACTTGCGGTCGGTGTTATTGCTGTTGTCTGCCCCTTTGTGGTATTTGATGTTGTTGTTGTTGTTGTCTTTGTTACTGCTGCTATCAATTATGCTTGTTGTTGTTGTCGCCGTCGCTATTTGTGGCGCTTTTAGCGCGCTTGTTTGTGGCACGTTCCCTTGCCGGCACCAACACCACCGCCATCAACAGCTGGTCGAGCGCATACTGCAAGTAGCAGCCGCCAGTCAACAAAAAATAAAAAAAAAAAACCCATCCCGTTCCAATAGAAAATTTACGCCTTCGTTCATGCAACCCCTCGGCGTCTGCAGGCGCGCTGTCTACAGCAACGCAATCATCCAGCCGTACGTATGCATTCAGGATACTTGCCTTCTTGAAGTGGTGGTTTTTCACCTTGCCTGTTATTTAATTTCAAAAATACTCGCGCTCTCGGCAACGCATAGGCCTTACGTTTGCTCTTCCTTCCTTTCAACTCTTCCGCTCGTCGCAGTGTATTTCTTTTTGCTTTTATTTTTTTGTTATTTGGTGATTGTGGACTCAACATTCTTGCAAATGTTGTCGCAACCGGTTAACCAATGTATCGGTTAACCAATGTATAGTATATATTGGTGGTTGGTTGTGTGGATATTTTGGTATCTCGATCGTTTGTTGGTTTGGCCGATGATTCCTCAGTACATTTGAAAGCATAAACGCTATCTTTCCAATCGTTTCAGCATGCGATTTTGATTTCATCGCTCTAAGCTACACATTTACATACGTACTTACGTGTGTTTGTTGTCACGCTATCATATTCAGCGGTTTTGTGACTCTCAGTGCGATTCTGCGTTCTTAGTCCGTTGAGCGTGAATGCCGCAAACTAGTATTTCTTGCAGTTGCTTTGTATTTGACGATCTGCATGTGTGTCGGTTTTGTAAACTCTTTCAAAATGCTGACGGTTACGCTGTTTACAAACGAAGTTACATTCTCTTAATAAAGTCGTCGTTGGAGCTTTTAGTGTCAACGTGAAATAATAGTTTTATTCTTTCTAAATATGCGTGCGTTTACTCTTTTCTTTACGCTTTAAAAAGTTCGACACGAATGTGGCTAAGATGAGCTTTATTCGATTACGGATCCACAGAAGCCCAAAGTAGGCGGCGTCTGTTAATAATAAGGAGCAGTAAAGTAAAATATGCTTAGTTTAAAATTAATCGTAGCTGTGCAATGAAATGGCCACAGCAAAGCGCCCGAATTTTGCTGGAAAGCCTACGACTAAAAGAGTTTAATAAAAATCACGCTCTATCCGACTAATTTGCGTTTACATTCGATCGAATTAGAAGGAGAACATAACATTTATGACATATCATACAAGAAATACACTCGCAGATATGACTGTGTCTACCAAAAGGCTATTAGACACGACAGTTTTTGTTATAATTAATTAATATATCAACCATAGTTTGAACCTCTGATTCTTCTTCTTCTTTGGCACTACAACCGTGGCTTAGTCTCGGCCGAGAATACCAAACTTTGCTATTTGCCTGTATAGTTTGCGAGGTCACGCCAGTTGTACATCCCAAGTTCAGACCGATCCCTATGCACTTCGTCCTTTCATTGAATGCGTGGGCGCTGCTGCTTCTGTTGTACACCAATGGGTCTCGATTCGAAGGAGCATCGTCTTCCATGCGTACAACATGGCCTAACCACATTCATTGCATTTTTATGCGTTTAAATACATATGTCGCCATAGAGCTCATAAAGTTCGTGGTTCCATTTGCTTCGGTACTCATCGCACACGCTCAGTGCTTTCTCATCTAGCTTCATCATGGTTCATGTTTCTGTGTCGTATAATAATACGAGAATGATAAGATTGCCTGACGATCTTAAAATAGAACCTGTTGGCAAGAGTTATTCTGCGCTTGGCCTTGGCTTAGACTGTTGGTGGTATTTATGCTGGTTCAGAGATAGACAAAGTGCTTTTTCAAATTTATACTTGTCATTAGTGGCGTGGTTCCCAAGTACTTTGTCTTGCCCTCGTTCACCACAACCTACACCAAGACCAACCTCTTTTGCTTCACCTTCCATGTTGGATCCTTTTATGCTGAAAAAGACTGCGCTGAGACTCTGTTGTTAAGGCCTGTGATATCCATGTCATCCGCCACGTACTCCAGTAGCATTGTCCTTTTAGAGTAGACAGTACCACTGCGTTACAAATTAGCGGCGCTAATCACTTTTTGCAGCATTATAATGAAGTAGATGGACGCGAGGGAATCACGCTATCTAAAACCTCGTTTGGTATCGAACGACTGGCGGAGGACCTTCCCTTTCTTGACAGATCTGATGGCTGTGCTTAACGGCATTCTGCATAACCGTATGAGTTTCGTTTGTATATACTCGAACTAATTCGCCAGTTTTTGTGATATCGATCTAAAATTTTCCTCACGTTCTTTTCTTTCCAAGAAGTTGCTCATTTGTTGGAACGGCGGATATCGGATCATTATCGTGTATAGCTGGCATACAAACTGAACTATCAAAATCAAGTTCCTGTATGCAAAATTTTTTTATTTTACCAGATATCTTCACGGAATTCGGCATGGATTATAGTTTAAGGCAACAATAGCATCTCCAAACAAATTAGTCAGATCGGACTACTATCAGCATATAGCCGCCATTCAAACTGACCGATCAAAATCTGGATCTTGTATGGAAAACTTTTTTATTTGACAAGATGGGTGCATTCGAGCTATGTAATAATTGCAGCAGTACAGCAACTGTGTTGCTGATACTCTGGTGATGTGCAGACAAAAATTTAGTGTTGCCGATTATTTGTATAAATTGCGTGCAAAAAATGACAGTAGAACGTAATGCTGTTGCAAGTGTTGCCAAAAATTCACGCAGAACGTGATACTGGTTTTTTTTTATTCATAAAAGTGAAAACTCTGGTCTTCTTCACCTTTAAAATAGAAGTAAACTTTATTTTTCAACACAATGTGACACCGTTTATTATATGTATGTAATCTTATATATGTATATATTTCTTTCATTTCTAATATTATTTTAGTACTTTTTATACATATTTTTTTTTAATGTTTTTTTTGAAAATATTCTGTTATGGAAACTTCCCATTCTATTTTTATTTGTTTAGTGAAAATTCTTGACTTCATTCATATTCCGCTTGTTTATTGTATTTTCATTATAAACTTGAATGTAGGTATATATGCCTGCTGTATATATGTAGGTATGTATGTGCTATTTACGCATACTACATATATGTAGTTATGTAATTTTGTAAGCTAATAATAGTAGATATTGATATACATACATAGTTAGTTGATAATTATAAAAGAACATAAAATACGTAATAACATTCTAAAATAATCAGAATTAATCAATGAAAATGTACTTTTTTGTATCATAAAATTTCTTTCATATAATAGTAGCAGTTGTACATAGTTATGTATGTATGTGTATGTAGCTTGCCAGGCTTTCTATATGCTCACCACATTTCCCTTTTAAGCCTGAATCAATAAAAGTTTTTGTTTGTTTAGATTCTTATGCCGAAATAAATTTGTTCAACTACTTATTTTTTTTAACATTACTTGGGTAATTTGAAACCCGGAATTGCTAAAAAAAAATAAACATTCATACTTTTGTAAAAGGGCACCTATTTGCACAGCGCACCTTAATAATATTAAAATGTTGGGGAGAATGTTGTTAAATATTGGAATAATTAAAGCAACTGGAATATTAATGTAATGTATTATTTAATGCCTTTTTACACTATATGCGTTTAATAGTCAAATTCAAAATAAAAAAAAATTGCGTATTGTTGAGATTTTTTGAATGTTTCAAAACTTTTTTATTTTAGATAGAGAATTGTTTTTTAAATCAATTTAAAATTTTTCGTTAACAGTTTTTCTTTTAAACATATTTTTGAAAAGGACATATTTGTAAGTTTCTTTAAGCATACTTTTTTTTTCCATTATTTTATATATATTTTTTTTAATTTAATTAAATTTTTAATTTTTTTTGGCTATTTTTTTTTTATATTTTTAATTTTTTTATTGCCTATTATTTGATTTTTTTTTCATTTTATATAATTTTTATATTTGATTTATTATTTATTTTATATATTTTTTATTTTTATTTATTATTCATTTTATTTATTATTTGTTTTATTTATTATTTTTATTTATTTTTTATTTTATATAAATTTTTTATGTTATTTATTTTTTATTTTATATAATTTTTTTATTTTATTTATTTATTATTTTATATACTTTTTTTTACTTTAATATTTTAGTATATTTTTTTCTATTATTTAATCTTTTTCTTTAATTAATGTAATTTTTTATTTAATTTTAATTTATTTTTTCTTTTATTTAATATTTTCGATTTAATTTCCAAAAGAAGAATATTAATATATTTTTTATTTTGCATTTATTTGTTTTCATTTAATACGACAGTTGGTGTTCGAAATGTATTTTAAGATAAATATTTATAAAAATTTAATTAACGTTTTTTTTACAAACATTTAAACGAACTTTTTAGAATTTAATACAGTTGCTATGAATTTGACCATTAAACGCATTGAAATCGTAATTTACCAAAGTTTAGTAAAAATTATATGTAAATTACTTTATGTTTCCTTTGTTTACTTGTTTCTATTTTAATATTTATTTTTCTTCTATACCCTCTTATTTCATACCTTCCATGTTTACTTTAGTGTCGCTTTTACTTTTGGTATACAATTTTTTTTTTTTGTAATTTCACGAAATATTGCCGCGGTCCCAAGCAAACTTTTTTTTTTTTTGTAATTTCTTATGTTTCATTTGGTTAATTTGCTGGGACAGTAGTAATTCACTTAGTTATTTTTGTTTAGGGTAAAGCGAAGGGGTTTGTCTCTAGGCCATCTAGTTAGCAGCAGCAACAGCAGTTGTATTTTGTTTTTTTGTTGTTAATTTCGTGTTTTTATTAAATAAACAATTTCAATTTAAGGATGATGTTAACTTAAAGATAATTGGTTTAGTTCCAATAACCGCTCAACAGCAGAATTTATGTCGCCAAAAGTAGCAATTAGCGCTGCAAAAATGGAAAGATTTTAATAACACGCATATAAATATATAGAAAAAAGTATTTGCAACATAAACTACATAATTTCTTAACTCACCTTGCAAGTTGGCCTCCCGATTGGCGAAGCCCATAGCCGCCAGTTGCTCCAGTTGTGACTGATAGCGCACCTCAGGCGGCTGCGTGTTGTCCGCCTGCATGGTCACGCCGTTCAACATGCGCGAGACAAAGTCGTTGAAGAGTTGGGCATTCGGTCCGCCGCCGGGTGCTGTAGCGGGACGATTGGTATCGCCACCGCCGCTGGTGGTGTTCGTAGTTGAGGTTGTTGTACCGGTGGAACTCTCTGTATTGCCAGGTGGTGGTGGTGGTATGCCCAAAGAACCGACCAGACCGGGCGCCGCCGAACGCAATTGCTCCATGCCTTGCTGTATTTGCATAATTGCATTTAGTGCCTCGGGATTGGTCATCATATTCTGTACTTCGGGATTTTGCATTTGATTAAGGAACTGCGGCATCAATTGACGCACCTGATCCTGTAGTTGCCGATTATTAGCCATTAGTGGACTGGTGCTGAGCAGACGTGAAGCCATATCTGGATCCTGTGCCATAGCGTCCATCATGGAGCGCGTATATGGTGCATTTAAGAGATTTTGCATTAACGATGGGTTTTCCGCCATTTGTTGCATAAGACTCTGCATGGCGGGCGTGTTGAGCACGCCGCGTGGCGGCAAGTCTGGATTGGCACCAGACGCAGCACCATCACTACCAGCTGTGCCACTAGGATTGCCGCTACCGCCCCATGGATTTGGTAGTGGTTGACGATTCTCCGTGCCTTGCTGCGGATTTATGCCGCCTAAAAATTAAATTGAAACATAAAAATATAAAATGTGTGACGTGAAGTGATTTTGCCACTGCTTATGCATACCGCCAGAACTATCCATTAGACCGGAAAATGGATTGCGTGTAAACGAATCGCTTGCTGCATTCAACATTGGCTCCTGTATATCGCGGTAAATGCGTTGAAGCGCATTGTAACCGCCAGGCACCGATTCCAAGTTCGACATTGCTCGGTCATGTGAACGCATCAGCTCTTGCAACATAGATGGATTGCGCGCTAACTCCATTGTTTGACGTAGCAATTCGGGATTGTTTAGCATATGCGATATTTCAGGATTGCGCTGCATTAAGTCCTGCATTTGCGGATTCGAGGTGAAAAGAGTGCGCATAATCTCCGGATTATTCATCATTTGTTGTACGAGAGGGTTATCAAGTACTGAGCGTAACATGTCACCGTTGTTTAACAATTCACTTTGCATGCGAGCTTGCAAATCCATAAAAGACCCGGTACCTGCGCCCAATGCATCCATACCAGCCAATCCACCCAATTGGTTAAGACCGAACGGTGTTTGACGTACATCAGCGGCTGGACGTGCGGCAGGTTCTGCTGCCCTTGTAGGTGCTTTGATGACCAGATGAACTGTTAGACCATCTTTAATGTTGTGAGTCTTTAATGTATCAGTGTCTTTCATAATTTTGCCAGCAAAAATTAGTACCAGCTGTTCGGGTTCAGAGTCGAATTTCTGCGCCACAAGTTGTTTGAACTAAAAAAGATATGTTTGTAATGATTATTGCACCATACAAATTAATCATTACTATCGATTATACACGTCACAGATAATTTTTTTCATTTTAACCCCGACGATTTGCTTTATATGCGGTTTCGCACCACGACAACCGCCGATGCTGGTCGGACACTTAATCATCACCCAATATTAGAAACAAAAATCAATCAAATAAAACGATGAAAATTAAAAGCAAAACAAAACTATGTATGCGGTTGCGCCACCGCTTCTGCACATTCATTGTTTTGAGTGGTGCAATCATCAATTTCGTAAAATTTGTGCATTCTGACATTTTGCCATATCTTTGCGCCAATCACTTGCCAACACGCAAACAAAAGCGACGAGAACATGTACTCATGTAATGCAATAAAACTGAGCAAATGTCACATGAGAGTTACATGCGGAGATACTGTCTGGCTTTCAAGAAGCCAGCTAAAAATATTCAGCTTAAATTTTAGCTCAAAGTACACTCACGTCCTTAATTCCAGAATCTTCATCAACCTCGATTGTTTTCTTCTCCTTCGGTGTTTTTACGTTGACAACGATGCGCTTGCTATTGCCTCCTTCTGCCATTTTTGTTTAGTTTTTGAAAGGTTTTGCAATGATTTTTTTCTCAATTTACTTCGATATTAGTTTTAAGAAATTTCGAGTTTTTTATTTAGCAAAATTGTTGCAAGAATTTTCATAGATTGAAAAATTTTGTCAATTAAAAACTAATTCGTCACTTTCGTATAACACACACACGGCATGAAAAAAATTAACGAAACAGTGTCGCATTTCGTTTGACGATGCCTACCCGATTGGAAAACGTAGAGTTGTATTGGTCAATAAAGTGTTGTAAAATATTATACAAAAATATATTTACATATATTTAATAACTTTTTAAACTAAATATTTATAAAACCTTTATAAATTGTAGTTACCATATTTCATTGCAAAATTTTATACAAAAGCATCTGCACAAATCGTGGGTGTTAAGAAAATGTACGTGGAAGTTTTGTAATAACCTATTATGTAACTTTAATTTAACTTTTTTCATTAAAAATTGTTCACAACAATAAACCAAATAAGTTATAAATATAGAAATTGATTTATTTCTATATACATTAATTGTCAAATAACTTAAAAATTAATTTTTATCAAATACTTCACTTACACTTAATAAGTAATCGATAAATGAATGTCAATAGCAAATATCATGTCGCCTTTCACTGAATATACTCGTCTATTGACAGTAATTTATTTACAACAATGTGTTGTGCGGTGTATTTTATTTTTACACGTGTGTCGCTGAAATTTTTTGTTTAAGTTAAAATTTGGCTAACAATATTTATTATTCCACAACTTAATGGGTTCCACCCGTTTCTTTGTGGCTAATTTGCCACCTAATGCAACTGAGAAACATGTGAATGAAGTTTTTCAGGATTACGGTGCTGTTGAACGTGTTGAGCTGAAGACCAAGGAGAACCCATTTGAACCAGAGGATGTCAAAGTGTTAGCGTTTGTAACGCTACAAATTCATCCGAATGATGTAAACAATTGTATGGACTCTGACAAACATTATCCATAGAATAATTTAATTACTTTAAAATTTCGATTGTAGGCGTTGATGCGCTTAATTGGGTGAAAATTCAAGGAGCTAAAATCAAGGTTTCTGTGGCAAAGGAATCATTTTTGGAACGTCTAAAACGTGAACGCGAAGAAGCTGAGAAAGGCAAGACGGCTGATACAAAAGTCACTTGGAATGAAGAGCAAAAAGAGTCTGTGTTGCCGCGCAGCGCTGAGAATACGCGCAAAAAATTTACGGAGGAAGATTTGACTGCTTTAGAAAATGACGACGAAATCGCAGCAGACTTGCTGATAAGCAAAAAGCGTGCAGCTACTTCATTGCACAATGGAAAAGTAAAATTTATACAAATATGCTAACATTGAATATTAATGCATTATGTATTATCTAGATTGTTATACAAAACTACGATACGGCGCCGTTGCATATCATCGAGGGAGTGAAAAGGAAAAAGAAGAAGCCGGATGGAACGGAAACTATTTCGGAACAGAAGCGTAAGGAATCCCAAAACAAAATGACAAAGCAATATAAAGAAAAGAAATCCGTCATACAGCAGGCGCTTTCCGGCATGGTTATTGAATATACACATTTATTTTTTGCCAAATTATTTTAAAACACCAATAATTACAGGATGCGCCTAAAGCAAAGAAAATCAAGTTTAGCGATGCCGAGGAGGAGGATGAGGCAACAAGTCCGATTTTAAATCATAAATCTAAAACAAACATTTTTGGCTCTGATGAAGAAGATGATAATGAAGCTGGTGAACAGCTTCAACTAAAACCAGAACTTTTTGGCAAAAAAGGCGCAAAGCTCGTAGAACTGCAAAGCAAACAAAGTGTGGATCCACGTTTCCGCATAGATGCCAAATTTGTCGAAGATGATGAAGAGGAAGATCAGGAGCAAGCTGAGACAGCTGCCAAAACTGAGAAGAGTAGTAAGGAAGTAAACGAGCGTAGTTGGCAAATGGGCATACTAGAACAGGTCGTGGGCACCAAAATCGACACCATCGACAATGCACAAAAAGCTGCGCGCAAGAAACGCATGCTGCGCTATGATCCATCCAAAGAAGAGCATCAAAAACTACTACGTACCAGCAACAAAGAGGCACAACCAGCGGCCGACGCTGTGGCGCAAACAACTGCGGGCAAGAAGAAACAAAAGAAAAAACAAGCAGAAATTGAAGAGACCACAGTGGCCGATGCAGGACCAGAAGTCTCAAAAGAGGTTTTCTATATGGTCACCGATACGTTGGCGGAATCGCTCAAAACGCGCGGTGATGGTTTTAGCTTGCTGAATATGTTCGGTAGCGCACAGGTGCAAGACAAGCGTGCTGATGAGCTGAAAAAAGTATCCGATGCGAAGATACTTGTGAATAAACTAGACAAAAATGCTTTAAATCCATTCAAATATGACTCATCATCAGATGAAGAGGGTGTAAATGAGCCACCCAAGCACACTGCGAAAGACGGTGCGCCGAAGAAGTCCAAACAGCAAAATAAAATTTTATTGGAAAGCTTCTTCATACCCAGAAACGATGCACGATTAAAAGGTAAACCACATACATCTATTTGTCTGCAATATTTCTATAGCATAGCGCTTTTACTTTTGTAGAAGGCGCTAAATTTTTCCATTACGAAAAGAAGGACGCGCCGGAGGAGGACTATGAAGCTGTGCGCAATCGTTTGAAACTTTTAATTAGAAGTAAAATTAATAAAACTAAGAAAAATTTGATTGGCAACAGTGGCGTTGGTGGGGTGAGTCGCAAAAGACGAATAAAAGGACGCCATTGAATTGGCCAAATTCGACAAACAGCGTATTTTCATATCAAAGCAGAGAATGTTAATAAATAGAGAAGGCGCAAATGTTAGCTGTGCTAAAATGTAAATTGATAAATTGTTCCAGAAAATGCGCAAATTCGAAAATTAAATTACACCAGTTCAAAAAGGAACCTTCCCCTCTTTATAAGCGAACTCAACAAATTACACCACACTAAGCAGAAACCAAGTGTACTTTCACCACCTTATAAAGGAACGGCTAATATATGTATGCGCAGATGTTCTTTGCCATGAGTGTTAAGGAAAATTAGAATAACAAAAACATAATGTGCAAATGTAAATCAGCAAGCGCATAATTCATGTAAGAACATTCTTTGTGTCTATTTGCCTTTTCCCCGTTTTGATCACTGCGTGGTTTCTAAAGTTTTGAAGTTGTATTTTTCGAAGTTCCCTCTTGTGAAAATCTCAAATTAGTACTTAACATTTGCGCCTTCTCTATTTATTAACATTCGCTGCATAAAATTTGTTTAGTCAGGTCGCAAACCAACAACTATGGTGCGCAGCCAGTACGAAAACCATTTAGCATAGTGTCACACTATTCTCGTAGCAATGTGCCAAACCGTAGCAACTATTGCGGCGTCAATATATTGATGAGCGCGTGCTGCTATTGCGCAATACCCAGTGCAAAATGCTAAGCAATTAGTTGTGGTATTTTTTAACAATTTATTTGGCATTGTTTTTAATTTCTTTTAAGGATGTTGACATTATTTTACAATTCTTTTAAGGACTTTGAAATAACAGCTGTGTAGCTAAAATAATGAAAAAATTGGAATTTTCTTTTTTTCTTTTTACAAATTTGTATATGCACGCATTATAATTGTTTTGTGGCATGCACTTTATTAAACAATTTTAAATTTTACAAAGAGCGTTGACATATTTTTACAAAATGAATAATTCTTTTAAATTTAGTAAAGAAAAATTGATTTATTTTTGTTAAGAAATTTGCGCGCAACTGTTTAAGAAGTTTTACTACTCATGCGTATTTTTAGCAAAATATTTTTTATGAATTTAAATTTTATGCAGCTAAATGCATATTACAATGTGCTATTTTCATATTATTCTCAATGCATACACTTACTTCGTATTTAAATAAAATACAATGGCACATAAGTTACAAATTATGGCAAAATAAAATGAGTATTTAAAAGTTTTCGCTCATCCAACAATATTAAAATAGTTAAGTAAATTTTTGGCAACATTTCAAATAAATTGAAATAGCTGCCTATTCTTACGACTACACTTATAAAATAATTAAGCACAAAATTCTGTATATAAATATGTATGTGTTTGTATGTGTACCGTATGTGTGTAAGCCTACATGGAAATATTTTAATATGTAAAAACTTACACTTACTGAGCATTATACTAAATTCATTAAAAAAAAAAATTAAATAAAAATATTTTAATAAATAAAAAATTTTTTAAAATAAAAACAAAACTAAAAATTAAAGCAAAAAAGTTAACTTAGCAAAATAAAAATCTCATCGCATTTGTTCTTTGGCTGCGCTAGCGTTTTGAGCTAGCTCTTTTTGGCTTGACTTACTTAAATCTATATAGCTTACTTCACTAAATGACTGGTTTTGTTTGGTGTTGCTGTTGTTGCTGTAAAGGCACATTATATCGCTGAGGTCACCACAGCGTCTCACTCCTTGTTTTCCACTGCCTTTCTACCCGCCAACGCCTCAATGGCCACAACGGTGCGCTCAAGTAAGGCTAGCAGTCGCTCTTCGCGCGCGTCCATGCGCCGCAGCAGTTCCTCGTCTCGCTTCTCGCGCCGCTTTAAGTACTCGATCAGTTCGTAGTTTGTGCTGTCGCCGCCATCGGTGGATGTGGAGAGTTTGCGTTTGCTTTTCGCAGACCCGCCAATGCCATCACCGCCGATAACGCTGCTGCAATCGGAAATGTTATCGGTGTCGACTATGACGTCCGGGTGCAGAATGTTGTGGTCGATGCTGTGTGGATAGTAGTTTTGAGAACTGAAAGGTCGTAAATAATAGCATTATATTACTTAAAAATAAAAAAAATCGATAAATATCGATCAGATAAAATTATTTTAAAAATTAATTAATTTTAGATAATAAACCCACATATGTAATGTATCGTATTTTTCCTATTGACATTTAAAAATATCGATTATTATTATACATATTAATCGAAAAATTGGTACTAATGGTATATTTTAAAGTGTGGACAGCGGATTTAATTGTATAAGCAATAATAAAATCGATTGAAACGATACTCAAATATCGATAACTTTTTTAATCGAGTGTGGTTATTGACATAAAGCTTTAAAAATGTGTTGTTGAATAAAACTATGAGTCTTTTTCATAAATATAAAAATTAATCAATTGAAATGATACTCAAATATCGATAACTATTTTCATAAAATACTTAGACATAAAACTTTAAATATAGGGTGATGCATAAAAGTATGAGTCTTCTTCAGAAATATTTAGATTAATCGATTGAAACGATACTCAAATACCGATAACTATTTTCATGGAGTTGTATTTTTGACATAAAACTTTAAAATATGTTAATGGTTAGAGTAGTAGTAGGAGTCTAATCCCTAAAGACATATCGATATCGATCAGTAAAATAATATTATCGATTTTTCGAAATATACTTTTAGTGCTTACCCATTGTAATTCGTCTGCATTAACTGTATATCATCTGGGTTGAATTCCCCATCGGACATAGGCTCGGACCTACAAATAAAAGCACAATTCATGAAATACTTGTATTCACATTTCCAATAAAAAGGTTTAACTCACTTCATGGTCATATTATTTTCGCCATTGGTCAGACCCATTGGCCCACCGCCATTGCATTCCTTATCGAATTGCGGTCGCAGCACATCTTTAATGCCATTAGCGGCATGTGGCACCAACAAGCCATTCACACCGCCCACAACTACGCCGCCGCCATCTGCTACACCCGCCACGCCAGTAGGTATCTCAGTAACGCCGTTCAAAGGCAGCGCGCCATTTAACTCGGCCACATGTGGTGCCGCCACATTGCAATTGCTATTCTCCATGTTACCAACGCTCTCATTGGCCGCACTTTCGCGCATTTCCTGCTCCTTCTGCATGGCCGCATTCATTGCTACCGCCGCCGCCGCAGCTGCTGCAGCCGCTGCCGCGCTTGCGCCACCTGGCAAATGCATGGGTGGACCATCGTCATATATGCCCATGCCACCGCCCAAACCGTCGCCCAGTTGCGCTTCCACAAAGTGGTTGGGCAGAAAGCGTTCCATTTTGCTGTTGTTGCTGCTGGAATCGGTGGACAGGCTCTGCAACAGGCTATGCTGCATGACCGCGGCCGCTTCTTTGCCCAAATACGCGACACCAAGCTCGGCAGCCTGACGCCGGCGCTGATAATAGGACAGCTCTTTGTGACTCTTCGCTATCAAAGCCAAGCGTTTGCCATTCGCCGAACCCCAGCACTCGCCGCGCTGCTCCTCGATCTCTTTGAAGAGAAACATGTAAGGCCAATTACGACGCACATGACGCTCGGGATTCTTCTTCAGTTGTGTGTAGATCTTTTTCAAATTCTCATAACGATTGCAGCACTGTTTGGCGGAGCGTTTGCGCGCACTAAAACGATTCAGCACTTCGGCGACCATCTCCCAAACGCTGGCGTGATTCTTGCGATTCGATTGGAAGGCGCTTTGTATGCGCTCTGATTTAACGATGTTCAGCAGCGCGATCGATTCGGGCACATTGAAGTAGCTTTCGGGGGTGCGCGGCGCGCGATGGTGGTGGTAAGTGCTGCCGTTGCTGTTACCGCTGCTGTTGTGGTTGTGGTTGTGGTTGGCATTAACGTTGCCATTACCATTGCCATTGCTAACAGGTGTTGAAGGCGGTTTGGTGTCCTGAAAGAAAAGAAAATTAATAAATTATTGTTAAGTTTTGTAGCGAAAGTTATAGAGTTAGTGTGTGCTGCGTCAAAAGTAAGATAAGAGAAACGAGGAGAAATGTCAAAACCAAAAAGTCGACTCCATTCTAAACATACTTTTTTTTAGAGAGTGATAATATTCTTAATATAAATGCAATAAGTCGACGCCATTTTAAAAAACGAATTTCGTGTTCCTCTATTCAACTCAGGGTTGCCTCTGTGCCTTTGCTTCAACCAGCTTTCAGATGCAGTTTTAATAGGCTTCAACTTCTAGAACGGCATTGTGGACACTTGAGATCGGCGCTGATTTGACTTTGCCGACAGACAACATTAGACACATTGGGAGCGGAGTTGAAGAACGCATTTATTGATAGTCTATATATGATCTCATGTCCATGGAACATCAGAATTGATGTGTGTTATGTGAGTGATCAGCTGTTTCATATAAAAATTTTAGTGCTCGAAATTCGCAATTAGAAGGACTTAAATGCGTTTGATGTTGACTAGAATATCATAGAAACGAATTGAGCTCTACAAGTATTGTCGGATTGCCCTCCGCTCTATCACACATACTCAAAAAGGTCCAGCACACTGATGAATTCCAGGAATCTGCTGGGCCATGTGATCCCTATTCGATTATATAGACCCAAGTATCTTCAACCTGCCTCTGCAGATTGCTGTGCTATCTAGCATCAGGTGCTCAAGCGTTTCGGGTTCCATGTCGGAAAAACGGTTGTTTGCATAGGGACTACACCCATGTGGAACAGTTAATTCTTGAGCCTGCAATGCCCAGTGTAAAATGCGACTAGTCGCCGGAATTTATCTATTTTATGATGCTTTTTAGACTTGTGAGGTTGTAACACTCCATTAGCATCCTATTCCCCTTGCGCAGCAGCTTCTTCATAGTATGCAGAGCCACTGCTATAGGATTCCGGTCCCACCATTCTACTAGCAGCAGCAGCAGAGCGGACTAGTTTATCTGCCAATTGATGCATTATTCTCCAAGTTCTCTCTAACCATTCAAGAAACACAGCTGAGTTGAAGTCGAGTATAATAGTTTTCTCGAGTTCAGATTTACTAAATAATATAACAACAGATACTGTTGCGTAAAAACTAGAGAGATTTGAGAAGTTGTTAAGTTCTCAAACTGAGCTCAAATTTCACGCAATGCTTTATTTTGATTACGAAAAAAGCGCGTATCAGCAGAAGGAAAGAAGGTTAAGCACGGCTCATGGCTTAGACAGCTAGAAATTCAATCGAATACGCATACATACATATGTATGTTACATATGTAAATATTGTACATATGTAAACATTTCCTACATTCGTCCACCTCACTTTCGATGAGTCAAGACCGCTGCTGACTTAGCGATTTTATTTCATAGTAGGCAATTTTTCAAAAGTGTATTCATAAAAAAACACAAACATTTGTATATGTATGTGTGTGTGGAAAATCACTTAAACCAGACACACACACATACACACATGTAAACAACTGTATGCATGCACTCGTATGTGTTAGTAATTATATGCTTGTATGGCAGTTAAAGTGAATAGAACACAATTTTGAGCAGCTGAAAATGAGTAATGTTATTTTTATACACAACATTTACATATGTACATATGCATGTATATATGTATGTATGTGTGTATAGCCATGTCATTTGTACGACTATAATTGTAATATCTGTATCTTCATTCGTTTACCAAGAAGATGAATCAATACGTTTAAAAGAAAATACGTCCAAGCAGATTTCGCGCAACGCTCTGCGGGAAAAGCGCATGAGCAGAAAAAATGAAAAAATAAGAAAGCTTTATGGCAATCGCATAAAACGAAATTACAACGGTAAATAAAAAGTGAACGCGTTTATGGACGCGTTTGCGATCGACAAGGTGCGCACACCTCAAAGCGTCTCCGAACTGTTATATACATATATACTTTGTGTGTGTGTACATGTATTTATATGTATGTGGGTACAATAAATAATACTGCGAGATTTCTGTTTACTGACGGGGTGAGCAATGCTACTACGGTAAATTCTTGTTGGAATATAAATCCGTGACCGTTTTGATTACATACTTAGACCCGATTAACTCGAGAACGAACGAACTTTGATGATTTGTTAAGAAGTTTTTCGCACCAGTAGCCTAACAGTAGTTCTTGTAATGAGGGGTTGGGGTTGTCAGAATTTACAACATCAACTTTTGCATTTCGTTTTGCATTTTCGTTAAGTGTAATATTTTGAAAATATTCTCTGAAAATTTCAAGTTAATCCGATAATTACTTTTTGAGTTATACGACAAATAACAAAGAGCGCTCGGGCACTTCAAAGCGCTCGGGAGCAGGGAGCAGGTAGCAGCTGCCGCAAGAAACTTTAAATGCGTTTTGCTCAAAACTATGTTTTTTGAATTGGTGACAACTGTAAATCGAGAACCGCTCAGTAGAATTTAATGAAATTTATAAACATTTAGAATACATAATAAACTTTGGCCTAATCGAAGAATTTTTTTTTTCTAATTGCGACTTTTTAAGACCAATTAACTGTTGATTTTTTCTCAAAAATCTAGAAAAAAATTCCTCAGGCCGCCATTTTGTTAATTTTTGAAAAAAAAGCTGGGTCTGACCAGTATTATTTATTTTTAAAACTACTTTTTTTATCCGATTGATGAATGATGAATCTCCAAGGACTTATGATTGTCACCGCAAGTACTTTATTTTTGAAACTGGGTCTACACAGACAGCTTATAACTTTGGAAATTTAATTTTTTTTTTATATAATTTTCGTGACTTCAAGTAGTATTTTGTATATTGTATAATAATGCCATATTACTACTTTTATAAAAATAACACGATTTAATAGCAAAAAAAAAATTCTGAAAATTCTCAATTTTCGGTGACTACCCCTAACCCCATAATAGCATTAATAGTGCCACAAAACAGTTTCGAATGAAAGCGTACGAGTTAAAAAAAAAGTATATACCATCAAGGTATATAAAATCAGGTCCGTTCCGTAGATGCGACTGTCGTGTTTTCTCTATGCTAATGTCGGCCTTTGGTTTTATAAGTACCATATATACGTTAGTAAGATAGATTTAGATCTCGAAGACCAATAGGGCGAGCTTCTAAGCAAGTCGGTCAGGTTGCGAAAGTTCTGGACGTTTCCATAGTGCTACGAAAGAGTTTCGTATGAATTCGGTTAGCTAAAGTTAAAGTAGTTAAAAAGTCTTGACGGTATATAAAATCAGTTCCATCACGAAGACTCAACGCGTCTCTCTGTATTAATGCCAGTGTTTCTTTTTATAAGTATACATTAAGACCAAATAATTTCCGTAAATTGGTTTTTCGATATTCGCGGTTGGTTCATCATAAACTCAAGTTAACACTTCGTGGAACCCGTTTCAACTCGTTTAAGGCTGTAAAAGCAAATTCGCAGAGGGAACTGAAGGCGAACCCGGACAGCACCAACAAGGCATTTTTCGATGATTGGAAAAAAAGGTGGCAGGAGCATATTTTGAAGGCGACAAAATAAATATTGATGAAGATTAAAAATGTTTCGTTTTATTTACAATTTCCGGAAACTTTCTGGTCTTAATGTATACGCTAGTGAGGTAGATGTAGTTTCCGTGTTATACTAGGAGTATTCTTCTAAACAAGTCTGCAAGGTTATGAAATTTCTGGAAGTTGAAGCAGCCTATGCTTATGCTCTGAGCTGTCACCTATCAATTACACCAATTACATGGTATATTACGTGGTATGTCTCGCATGTAAAGAGATCACTAAAAACTATTATCACTTTTACGCCCACCGACTTAAATATACTTGAATTGGCACAATTCCATCGAAATTTCTTGGGTTTAAGTACGCGACAACTGTACGTTGTTACTTTGCGGGCTTTAGTAATTTTCAAGTAGTCTTCATCAAAAACATGTTATAAGTATTATGCGAGACTCGTTCGAGAGATTTTTGTCTTTGTCAGCATATTTTTTGAAAACTTTTAACAGTTATATGCTTATTGATTTTGAACTGAGATTATGTCTATGCACATACATACATACATATGTATTATGTACATATGTACATATGTTTGCGTGACTGATCTGCTTTTAACCTACATACATACATACATATGTACATATATACAAAGTCACAGACTCTCTCTTTCCAAATCGTTATACAGTTTATTGAGTTTTTTAAGTGCAGAAGACACTTAGTTGGAATGTCGGTGGCATAACATCTGCTTACCACATACAAGCTGGCAAACATACAAATATACAGTGGTATATAAAAATATACGTACATATGTATGTGTGTATGCATATAAATGCTTTCATATGTGCTTAAACCACGTTAAGTAAATATATTTACCAATACATACATACATACATAGGCACTTAGAACGTCTGTTAGAGTGATCTTAGCGATATATTGCATTCTTATAATTCTTGTTATTGTGTTTTCGTTCATTGTTATAAAAATAGTCAGAGATTTCAAGCAGACAACGCAAGGCTTTCATAGGCCTACAAAAGTAGTATATGTAATACATACAAACAAATATACATATGTATGTAAATATAAAGCAACGAGTAAAAATAGTATGCGTTTCAATGAAACGATACTAATCCATAAACACAACAACAGTGCTGGTAAAAATAATAGCATAACGCCGACGTCTATATGCTGCATATGGAATAGTTTGAAAACCGACTAGGTGACCTTACTTTGCCACGGAGGCTCAAGTGTGGATTCTTCGAACTCACTTCACCAAATCGTTTTAAGTATATTCTAGGTGATAAACATTGTTGCTTGAGTTTGCAACTCTATATCAAGCTTTTAAGCTTTTTTAGGTTTGCGCGCTTTATTCAGCTATAAATCTTATAAGCCGCAAGCCAGATACAGATTACCAACAGATGATTTTGCAGACAATTAAAAGAGTGCAAACAAGCTTATCAGCCGTTTGGACATTCAGCGCTTTATTC